GCACTGGCAGGCATTTCTAGTGCACACCATTCCTGCGAGTCGACAATCAAGTCCCGATATGTCAACCAATCTTTCATCATGGGAGACGCCTTGGTCAGGCATGCGCTTCATTGATGATGCTCCCTAAAATGGAGTCGGCGCGTATCAGTATACTTGTCAGCTGCTTTCAAGTCTCACAGACTCACAGTGCATGAGACTTGAGACCAACTGACAAGCTTGCATAAACGACATCTGCCAAGGTATACTTAATCGAATGCGCCAGTAAATCGACCGTTGTCTGCTGAAGTGTTTGGCGATCTTCAGCACCGGTTGATTGATGATGGGACAGACTGCAATGCACTCACCTAGAACTATGATCTTCGCCTATGTGCCAACACTGGCAGACGCGACAGCACACAGGCATTCAATACTGGTAGGCCCGCGCCACCGCATCTGATTTCAGGTCCGTCTTGCCACATTCAAATCACGTCTTTAAGAACCTTACTCACCGGGTTCTTTTTAGCCACCCGGCAAGATGCTCGACGTTTTATTGGCACGCGACTTGATCGGAGTTCAAGTTCAAATAATGTATGGAGAATATGCAGTGCTTGGGCAGTGCAATTTTGCGCATTGATAAGGGCACACACAGGTAAGGAATCCAATCGACGATCCATGAATATCAAGAATTGAAGCGAGCACGAAGATTGTCATGGGGGTTATCATTAAACGTTAAACAGTTGAAGACGCCTCCACAGCACCAATGCCTTCTTTGCGGAACTTTGAACCACCTGGTGGGTCTCATAGTCATTCGTTCCGATGGCAGGCTGATAGCTCAATCGGTTAGTGAGTATATATTTCTTCGGGATCCTAACAGCGCGTAACCACTAAAAGTCGACGACAGTTTCGGATTTCGGCCCAGAAACTGCGCAGGCGACGAAGCGCACTATTGGTATATAGAACTCTATAGATTCAAATCTTATTTGCAGATTTCAAATTGTACGTGCATCATGAAACTCCGGAGCGATATTAACTGAAAAATTCATCCCGGTACCTGCCGCTCTCAGTCTATGTGTGAGCTTGGGTTGGCCAACAATATGAACGATCCTGCATTCTTCGCTGGTCACCCAAACGACAGGAATCAATGGCACTGATAGCATGAGCTATTATTCGCTCGCAAATGTGATGGACCCTGCCTTCCCAATATGGCTGATATACGCCGTCATTCAACGAACATCTGGGATGGTTTCTATGGAGAACACCTTGAGCAAAGGGTGTGTTGATGCCTAGTAAGCTGATACCAAGCAGGCGTACCCCGACTGGCCTTTCTGACGTATTTTGTAGGTTCTTTAGACAACAGAATGCTTAGTTGGTACCTTCTTATTGATGTTTGGAGCTGGAGGCAATGTTCTCATCACTTGCGGTTGCCTCCTCTCCCTCATACCTCGAAGGTAATGCCATAATCATGAACCATGGACTTTTTGCTCATTGATATGTAGACCCCGCTTTCCAACAGCGAAAGAAAGTGATAGATGTGCTTTATGTGTCGCGTATGTTGTTTCCTCTATCTTTTTGTTGTGTGTTCTAGGTCACCGTCATGATGGAGTTATTGTGGATTACGCCCTTCCCCTTCGTATTTTGTTTCACCACATTCCATGGCGACGCGATGTGCTGACCAGAACCTCCGTCAGAACCTCTTTCCCCACTCTGAGTCCAAGATGCCCGAGGACTTTGCGAGTTTGACTGCAGAGATCTTCACTTAGCGCAGGCAGTATATTGGTCAGAATACTCAAGACAGAGCAGCGAGCTTCACCGGCAAGAGTTTCCCCGCTGCACGATAGACTAGGTAAGTCCCTGCGCATGAGAGAGAGAGCTTAGCATCAAGGTTTGGCAGGTACAGCCTATGTTTGGTACGCCTTACGGCATACCCTTCGAAGACCTTGTAAGTACCTTATCCCTACTTGGCTATACCATTGCCCTGAGATAGAAAAGTGAATGAGAAGGAAGCCTTAATATCAAAAAGCGTGTGTAATCCTGTCGCTGTAAGTACCGGAAACGGCCAGGGCCTGCTACTCCCTGATCTTAACCTGATTCTTGCACAAGTATCACAGCCATCAACGTATGCATAAGACCATTGTGGGATGACTGATTACATTTCCTAGGTTTCGGACACGAAACAGACGTATTAGTCTCGAACGTGCGTAGACCCTCAATCTCTGGCTTCTCCGAGGATGACCCTGCGCATGGAACAGAAGACAGAGTTGACCAATATCACTAGGAGAACGTTGGTGAATCTATCACACAACGAGATTTGCCGTTTTTTGGAGGCGTCCGACTCGCGATATGCATCCAAATGCGGAGTACTGCACTGTACAGAGGGGGATGAGCGGCGCGAAACTCTTTCCTCGTACACGATACTGGCACCATGCTTACCAATCGGAGGTCCTATTCTTGATGAGTTCTTGCAATTTATGTGGGTGAAGTATTATTGCTGAGGTGGCGTGCCGTGTGTCCAACTTGAGGCAGGCTCGACACGCCTGATTCTTTACCAAGTCCTCAGAAAGTGTCATGACAACACGTATATTCAGTACGAGTAACTACGCGAAATTGCTACCCGCTTGACGAATCGAGGTGGGCCCGTATATGTCGCCTCCCAATGATAGCCATGATAACATGGGACCTTGCCAGGGCATCATTATCGGACCGTAGGATACATTTAACGATCCAACCTGGGTTCTTGAGTCCCAGCGGACACCGCCCTTGAGCATAGGACTCTTAAGCCCATCAGGTTATAGCCTTACACCTCGGCAGTTTTTTTTTGCGGAACATGCACGGCGACTACTACTCCAAACACCCAAGTCAAACGACGGATTTCCCAATCGGATTTGAGCCGCAAGAAACGAATCTCTGATCAATATTAACTACCAGTCGTTTCCAGAAAGTGCTCTGAAGTGTCACAATAATAATGGATGTTTGACGATGACAATACGGTATTTAGATGTGGGCATGCAAGTAATAGAGTCGAGATGTGACTCACGAGAACGTGGGTGCAGGACTCTCTTCATGCTCAGCACCTTCGCGGAGTTGTAAATTTAAGTGCTTCCACGTTCTTCCATCAGAAGTTCGAGGCAAGGCTGTAATTTCCTTCTGGTGCGTTCACAGAATACGGGTCTGTCTGCGAGTTGTTGGAGATATCTCACAAGGAACGATAGCATTCAAGCTCCATCTTTACCTCGCTCGGTACCACGGAGGCCAGGAGACTCCGTTGAGTCACTCACGCTGCGCACGCATCCCGGCCGAGTCCGTGCTGACATGGGACTTCATCCAAGGGAAACCATCCATGATCATGTCCTACATCCACAAACCTTCGTATGAATGCTGAGCCTCGGGGCAAATTTCGAGGTCACTTCCACACGTGCTCGTTGCTCAAATATTTCCGCACCGTCGTCGCATCTCATCGCGTTTTCATTTCGCGTACGCTAGTTAATTCACTGCGTTGGTGAGAAATCACCAACGTGGCGCCATATTTCAAGGACTTCTTGGGCGTCGATTGCTATAACGTGCGGTCCCTATTCTTACAGAAGTGTGCTCACCCAAAAATGAACGCCGGGTGTGGCTGTAGTCTGCAGGGCTGTACTTCCCTTTACATTTTATAGTTTCAACCGATGACCCATCGATGTGAATGTTGTCAGCGAATGGGAAGACTCATCAAGCTACATACGAGTGTTACCGGGAAAGTCCACTGTGGAGCTTCGTCAACGAGCTCGGAGCATGCTTTCTTGGGCACAGGTAATTTGATGGACCCCTGTCTTTCAATGATTATGAACTTCTTCTGATTGTCATGGACTTGTGATATGGACTTTGCTATCATATAAAGGCGTATGGCCACGCTGGCGCAGTTCCTCCGCTGATCGGGACGATCGTCGAGATGTGTATTATTTCAAATGCTATGGGACTAATCTTGGTACACAGACCGTCCATGAGGAAAAAATCCTGTTTCCATACAGGTACAGGGCGGACGGGGGGCCGGTTTATTGCACCTGCTGTTATGCCTGCCTCATCCATGACGAATCCTGCGGCTACGCTTGACATCAGTCCCATAACTGTGTCTAGCTGTGCCCCCAGTGGGTTCTGCCCTTCGAGCGGACTTGCTCCTCCGCAGCACTGATACAAGTCATGCGTAACCGTCACCGTGCTGGGAAATATCGGAAGGGTCATGGGTGGAAGCATGTGAGAGCAAGGGAAAGAGAGGTACTCTTTGGGTCATCATTGTAAAGCTATGTGCACATACTAATGGGCTCTGCTGTATGGATCCTGCTCTGAGTGATTAATGATGCAATCAGATTGGGAAGGTCATTGTTGGATGCTTGCGGCTATCATCATTCTAACTCCTGATAAGATGCCACAGCCTGTGCGGATATAATTTTGCTCTCACAGACCAAGGTGGACAGTTTGGGAAGTAAAGAAGTGTGTCAACTGAAGCCGTGCAGCTGCGGAAAAGAAGGTGCACCTAGTGGATTATATCACCTCCAGTGCTCCCACAGGATCGCTAAGAATTTATGCCTTGCCAGGCACCAGTTTAGCTTGATGAGTCTTACTCTCAGAAAGCTGTGTGGATGAACTTGGGAATGGCAATTGTCTTGGCTGGGATCTGCCTCGCTGTAAACACGTTTCCTGATCAATGGCCAAACCCGATGAAAGCGTAATAATTTCCCGATAATCCGCAAAATTTCTTACTGGACGGATCGGAAATAAGTCGCTTGCAGAAGTCTAATCATGGCGAGCAAATCTCTCGCAACCCAGCTAGGATAGCGCTGGGATCCCAGCCCCTACTGGCTAGTGCTCGTCGCTTCTCGTAACTGGCACGGGATCTGATGATTCAGTCAGGTTCGCAGCCCTTATTATATAAAACCAGCGGCACTTGATCATCTTTTTCTTTCTTTCGCCTCGGTGTTCATTAATTCCAACTTCTCCTCTGCGCAGGGTTATCTGGTTGATGACACTTTGGTGGTGACGACCCCCTCATGACAGAGTATACAACTTCCCCAGAGGCTGTCCAGGTCTTTAGAAACTCCCGGGAACGTACTGAGCACTGGGTCCGTTCTCACTCGCCATTCCATTCCCAGTTCTATTCCCCAGAGAGTCCCCCATCCGTCGTCAGTGATATAGATATCGACGAGTCTAGCTCAGACAACGGCAGCTCGCATTCCTTGCCTCCGAAGATGATGTTGAAGTATGGGGACGGACGCGACGTTCCTATCTCACACTGGCACTATGATAATGGTGGCTCTCACAAAGGAAGCAGTCATAGTTCCAGTTCTCATCTCCATCCTCAACACAGCCATCACCACCGTGCACATGACCGCTCGAGGTCTGCTGCTGATGCATATCCTGTACGGGGTCCTCGCCACCCCGAGCACACAGGGTATCGTCACTCCTCTGCACGTGCAGATCCTGAAGATTTAGAACCTGAAGAAATCCAAATCCTTCCCTCTGACCCACACGCCACTCCCTATGACTCGAGAAACGAAAAATATCGGCCACGTAGAGCTTCAGAACCTTACCGGCCCGAACCCTTGCAATCCCCGCCCCACAAAAACGCTGTAGAAATCCTGGCCACACCCTTGCCACGACACGTTCCCAGCCATCATGGTAGTGCTGCCCCGCCAGTTACTTACTCGCATTCACAGCCCATTCCTCGACAATACGAGCAGCACCATCCCGCACATTCGCATTCGAGACATCGGCCTCCGCCTTCGATCGTATATGCACCCGGTCCTCACCACGCTACCGATCATTATGCTCCACCGACTATTGTTTATGCCCCAACTAAGGCACCAGGCATGACGTATACGGTGTCTGCGCCCACGGGTTCAGGGTTTCCACAGTACCCGCGTATTACTCCTGCCCCATACCCCGCTGCTCATAGTCATCTCGCGTCTATTCATGAAGAAGCGCGGTATGGGATGAGAGGGCCCCTTTCGAGGGAAGATCGGTCGAGAGCGCCTTCGCCGATAGGCGAGGGTGATAGCTGCGAGTCGGGCAGCACGTACTATGTTATACCCACTCCTGGCCAGAAGGTGAAGGTCTTGGTAAGTCACCAGCAAAGTGCTTATCTCTCGTTGTTGTGATTGTGTTTCATTTTGGCTGACTTGTATTGTTTTAGCCCGGCCCCGTGCCTTCCCTTTACACGGCCACGTCGACCACTAAATCGCCATCGTCTCCTCAATCTGGCAGCATGGGATTCAAGCGACCGTTTTTCAGCAGGCTTTTTAGCTTTGCGTCTGATCTATCAAAAGTATCCAAAGCCCCGAAGTTTTCCTCAAAGACCAAGCTACAACGACGCCATTCTTTAGACACGACCAGGGGTGTTCATATACGACACCGGTCGTGACATTTACGTATGTTCTGGGATAATGATTTTTTTTTCATTGGCTTGCTCTACTGTTTTACGTTTGTCTTTGTCGGATAGACTTTGGATAGACTCTATGCATTCATATGTACGCATATGCATTGCCCCTGCATTGTACGATACTGACAGCACTGTAGCGCTAATTTTCCACTCATTTTCATTTTTTTTTTCTGCCGGCGTTTATGATCGTACCGTAACCTCATTTCGTTCATGTAACTTGTGGATTCGTTGTAGCAGGGTGGTCGCAATAATGACAGCTTGTGACATTTTTGAATCAGACATCAACGTGGTACCGCAGAGTTGTGAATACACATGTCATTCATTAATACAGCAACTTCCGTGAAGCACGAAGACACCGTTTAATGAATTGTCATCTCGCAAACTCTCTTTGACACGACCATTCCACCCCACCTTTTTTTTTCCAACTGAGTGCGGATAGACTCATTTTACATGATTTGTCTGATCTGAATCCGATCATGATCATGTGCGAGGGATATACACTGCGTTTTATGAAGGTCTAGATGGCGTTGATGAGGCTGTCGTCGAGAAGTACTATTCCAAGACTGATGACGTTCGCCCTGCGGTTCCATAGATACGAGAGATGAATGATGGTGCGGATAAGGGATGTTTCCTCGGATGTTCGGAATGTCCGCCGTAAAAGAAATCCAAGCCATGCAGCTTGCAGGGAACGAGTGCAATGTGCGATTTGTGTGGGGGAGATGGAACAGTTCTATGAAATGAGCGGGCCTCGGGGTGAGTTGGAACGAGTAGGACGCCGTTGATGTCTGTAGCATGTGTACTCGCTTCGGGGTGATCGACAGACTTGGATGGTTGTTCCTCCAAGCGGGACCCATGAATCAGTGCTTGATACTCGTGGTGGACATCGAAGCCAGTTTGCAATGCACCCGGTTCTTCGAATGAGGTGGTCTGCTTCGGCGTACCGCCTCGATCGAACCGTTCGCGATGGCTTGAGTGTCTTGGCAGTTGCTAAATATGATATAGACGATCCGACACTCAGGGGCTCGAGAACTGTGATTTATGTAAAAACAGTGCTATCATAGGGGTCGAATATCCACTCGCACTGTTCCGAGTTTTTGACTCGACGATGGTTGGACGCTACGCCTTTTCGCCGCGATTTCATTATGGCGCAATGTCGGTTCCGGGTAACAGTCAATGTTGAGCACGAAAAAAGTAATTTAGATTCTTCTGCACAGTACCAAGTAGTGACTGTGCCACTCCTGGCAGTGAATCATTCCTGTGCTTGACAGTGTCGCATCTCTGCATGCTCCGTGTACTGTGCCCGAACGCCTCAGTGCCCGCAGCGATATCTCTTCGAAGCGGTCCGATGGTGCTCTCCCACGGAAGGAAGGAGTCATCACTTGACTGCATATGTAATTATCTATCTAGTCAGCTCTCTCTTTCATCACAGCAACCATGACTGTCTCGGAGGACCTCAATTTCTGTTTCCCAGTGCGGGAGTTATCGAATGAACGCATCAAGATGACTCCTTTCAAAGTAAGCCGATTATCACAATCCGACACTAGATAACCAAGCTAACTTACCACAGGCATCAACCCATTCCTCTCCATTATGTTCCATCATATCATCTCACCCAGAACTATGGGCACACATGCCAACCGGCCCATTCCAAACCATCCAAGATTTCAACACCAATTTCCTCGAGACCCTAGTCCACCACGACCCAGGAATGGTATCATTCGCCATCATAGATAAAACAAAACCACCCTCTACAGCAGACGAGGAAGGCGAGCTAGCTGGGATGATGTCTTATATGAACTCTTCTTCTCTGCATCTATGCACAGAAATTGGATATATCATCATCCTTCCCCAATTTCAAAGGACGCATGTCAATTCCAATGCTGTTGGGCTTCTTTTGCAGTATGCGCTCCAAGTGCCGTCTCAGGGCGGTTTGGGCCTGCGAAGGGTTCAGTGGCAATGCAGCTCTGTGAACGCACCTTCTATTCGTGCGGCTGAAAGACTCGGCTTCAAGAAGGAGGGAATCATGAAATGGCATCGTGTATTTCCTGGAGGCAAGGACAAAGCCAAGGTACATAATGGTCGTGAGATGCCTCGGGGTAGTCTTGACGAAGAACACTATGCAAGGGATACCGTTGTTCTCGCTCATTGTTGGGATGATTGGGAGCAAGGTGGCAGAGAGAACATACAAGCAATAATGAACAGACAGCATTAAGTTACTAGGCTTTCTCAACGTTGCACCATCTTTCACGCGGGCTCATGAATTTGTCTAGTGATACCCTCATAATTTACCTGACACCGCGGACGATAGACCCGAGGGTCACATTGTACCCCTGTACTTGGCATGTAAATATCACGGGCTAGGTGAAAAATCACAACTAATTCCAATTCATGCCTCCTGCGGTGCATTGCACCTTCTCTAGTATATGGTAAAGTTCTTGACAGTTTGATTAGTCTTGTGTCTGTAGTGGCTTCTGATAACGATCAGAGTCTCTGACGAGAAAGAGTAGCGACGCAGCCGCCATCACGATCGCCTGCGATAAACACGTTAAACATCATGCACAAGTGACCTGCAAATAAAGCTTACCGCGTGAATATAGAACACCAACATCGGTTGACTCGAGATCGTGCTGCATTAAACAAGGAAATAAGCAGACAGTGTGGGATTGAAAACCAATCGACTCACGCAGTAAAGATGCCGCCCATGACAAGAGGAGAGAGGAAGGCTCCAATGCTGGACATCATTTCGATAGCAGCTAGTACCTCTCCTATCCAACGCAATCTGCCAGTTATCAACCGCATGTTTGCAGCTTCAAAATACGTACCTTGTTTCAAGGGGTCGACCGATGATACTGCGAGACTTCGAGTGATGGGAACATGTGCTGCGCTGAAACCGACAGCGGTCACGGCTTCACAAAGCATCAATACACGCATTGCTGCATTTGAGACCTCGCACCTATGAGATGTGAAACATGAGTCGTCGTTGCAGACGCTATTATATAGGAAATAGCATTGATGACCCAGGAGACGAAGGTGATATGGACATCGAGAAGGTCTGTAGACGTAGATACAGCAGTGTCATCGCTAGGGTCCTGTTGATCTTCGGGAAGAACGACCTTCCTGGCGTAAATCGGACGCAATACGCGAATCAGCGAGGGTATCGTATATGTAAGACAGAATACAGCGCTCAAGCTCAGTGTTGTCAACATAATTCCGGTCTAAGTTACATGAGTGTAGAGCTCCAGTGATTAATGTTCGGCCTACCTCAGCAGAGTTGTACTTGTATTTCGTTGTGTACAACAACGTAAGGGCCACCGGGGTATACGAGTCCGCAAGCATCGCGATGATGATATGAATTGCACAATACACTACTCGCCAGTTCCGTCTGCCATCTTCCTTGCGGGCAGGAACAAGCTGTTTCAGAGGTTCGAACGCAATGGCTACCGTAGATATGAGGCGGCTCCATAAATTTCGATGGGCGCTTGCTTCTACATTCTGCTGAGCAAGGCGCTGGCGACGTAGTTCATCCCGTTTCTCTTTTGGCAATGATTCGGGGAGGAAAGCTAAGACGTAGACGAATATGGCCCCGAGAACGGAAATGCAGATGTAATATACGATTAGCGGGTTATTGGTCTTGGTGGTGACAAGTCCACCGATAGCAAAGGAGACTGATTGGCCTTTACACGTAGATTAACGGGGATTGTGTAAATGCAAAGGATTATGCTTACCTAGGATAGCCCATCCATTAATGGCACTCAAAACGGGTGTTCTTGAAGATCCGGTCAGTCCAAAGAGGATTGATTATCACAATTATACATTACCTATCCTCAGCACTGGTGATATCAACGGTGTAGATGTTTACCATGAACATCATAATCAGGGGATTACCGAATGCTTGCAGTAATAGAGAGGCGGCCAAAACAGTTGCTCCTAGCCATCCAGACAAGTACTGGGAGCAGATCATAAGAAAATAGGCCAAAAAGCTAACGGCAACTGCGCCAAGGATGACTTGTTTTCTTCCAAGTCTAGAGCTAATATGGCTAATCACACTGCATGCGATCATAGCTGTTGAACATTAGATTGGGCAGAAAATGTAGCAGCGTCCGCACCCGCAAGCCCGTCGCCAATTAAGATGGCCGAAATGACGGCAGAGTATGTTTTCTCCACCTCTGGAACTGCGCATAGTTCCTTGGATATCTCCCCGCCTGGTGGGAAGTTGTCATTTGCTGTGAGCCACAGCCGACAGATGACTGTTTGGATAACCTCCAATAATGTCGTTGCAGGAAGCGTCGAAGTAAGTCGTGTCGCGACAGCTAGCGGGATTAGAAGCGTTAACGGGGAAAATTGGCGTTCACTGCTTATTGCATCCTGCCGCTCTGGAAGGAGCGGAGCACGCTCAGAGGGCAACTTTGTCGGCGACACGTCTTGGATGCTTGCCATGGAAGTTTAGATCAACCTATTTCGATATCTTCGAAGTGAATAAGTAGTTACTTACCACGTGGAACCAAGTATAGGCTTGCGACGCAACGGCGTGTGTGTGTCCCCGACAGCCACAGACCAAATAAAACCAAGTGCGGTTTCTCCGACAATAAACCGAATTTTATAAGGAGTCTGGGTGTACAGTCAAGCTGCAAATCCGATCGAGAGCCCAGCTGGGGCCCTTGCGGGAGATTTCCCCCCTTGCCAGCAGTCGAAATTTCCTAGTTGTGTTTTCGAAAATTCATGTCCGACCCGGAGCTTCTTGCCACTCAGGACGCCACTATCATGAAAAGGAAGTTGGGCTCACCAGCCAGCTAGCCATGGCCCATTTCGGACCCTTGAAGTTGCTGGAGAAGGCAAGGAAGTGTTGACTAGAACTTTTTGACGGGTAATAATAGCATGCCATTTATCGATTCAACTTGATATCACTATAACTGCGTTTTAGATGATTTGGTCGACAGACCCATCGAGAGAGTCGCAACTGAAAATCGTTGAACGAAGAACTAACTATGCAGTTACGTACGTACACATGGAACCTGGATTCCCAAAAAAGTCAGTTGGCTGCATAAGTACATCGACTAAAGTACGCGAGGTATAAATTACACCATCTACAACTTGAAGTAATAAGATATCCCCGTATTGTCGACTGCAATAATAATACTCTGGGTCCAGTCCAATGTCAATTCACTCGTCAGGTAGCTGTAATACGCTGTTTGCACGAGAAAGTGTCTGCCTTGGAAACAGCGTCAAGTTCATATACGATGAATTTCGCGAACGTGGGTTGATGGAAGGAATCGAAGACCTGCTGCTCGTCATTATCGTGTCGTCAGGAGCGGTGGTAGTCGTAGGTGACGAAGCGCGAGAGTGAGAATGCGACGTAGAAGTAGATGTGCTGAATCCGTCCGAAGCATTGTGATAGGGAGGAGGTGAGAGTGTCGAGGTTTGAGAGTGTCGAAGCAATGGAGGTTGAAGTGAGGTAGAGATGGGAGGTAAACGCGGACGACGTGATGATGATGTCGATGAGGACACAAGGCGGCGCAGGGGTCGCAACAGGGACGGGGGTAGAAAAGAGGAATTTGAGGGCGACGGTGGACGTGCTATCGTTATCCCTTCCTCCATCGCGTAGGCTCCATGCAAGTCACGTTTAAATGAGTTGCGTAAGAAACGCCTCCGAACAACGCGCAATGGATGTCGTAGGCGAAAGATTATGTAGCCCACCACAATGAGGATAATGGCGTAGGAGAGTATAGTAATGGGTGGAAATCCCAAAGACTCACGGGTCAAAGATGTCGGCAGATGTGGAGAGACATGCTCTTCCAACAACCCGTCGAGATCCCAGAACGGTCGAATGGGTTTGATAGGAGGGTTGGATGTACTAGCAGGAATATCGTCTATAGGATCAGCCAGCGGCCTACTACTGCTTGAAGACGGTTTGATTTCCTTGCTTGCTTCTAACACCATTTTACCCAGCGTCCAGCTAATGGCGATATCTCCGACAGAGTCGACAGATTGAAACATAGGTCTTCCCAAACCCTTCGCTTCAGCTTGTTGTGCCACTTGTTCTCCAATCGTGGTGGAGTTTCCTTCCGGGTCTACTATCCGAGGAATCCCAATTCCTTCATGTAGCACATTGGCTATCCAAGCGGCCTTGAAACACTGCATCTGCAACCTCGGAAGCTCCACATTCTTGCCCCACTTCCCGACCTCCATGACCTCTCCGTTTTCCATGACTTCCCCATCGCCGCCTCGTATGCCCTGCGCTCTCGACAGCTCATGTTGTTTGACTATACCACTCCAATCCATACCGCAGAACTGCGTCGCAGCGCGCTCGTACTGCACATAATCATACGGGCCGCCTAGCCCGAAGACATGTTCAGATGAATACCAGTATTCGGAAACACCAATGAAATGGGAGGAAGTAAAGTTGATGGCAGGAACATGCACTCCGTCGAAAAGGCATGGAGCAGTATTGCATGGCGCATTTTTGTTGAGGAGGGAAGCAGTACGATCCAGACACTGGGTGAAAGAGCCCGTCCCAGCAAGTAGATGTGTTGAATGCGACCCATCAATCTGAGGCAATGTCTCGGAAAGTATCAGATCTTTTGGAAGGCACGGGTCAGGTATGGATGATGATTCTGACGTCTCGAGCGAAGTCTCTTTGAAAGACTTGATGGTCTTCGTAACATATCGCTCTCGTGCCTGGTTGGTACCATAACCTAACCACGTAGTGACGAACACCGAGTGGTTGACGTCGTCTCCGCCAAGTAGTCGTAACCGGACATCAACCAGGTTCTCCTTGTCTCCCGAAAGCGTGTTAGATGGCTCAAAAGCTATCTGGGTCGAAGCGCCTCCCATGTCCAGAAAACCATAAGTCGTCTTCTTGTCCTTTCCATAAAACCCATCCATGAGATAGTTCACTGCTATCCATCCATACAACCCTTCCTCTTCGCCAGTGATAATTCGTACACTGGACCCACACGGACCGTCCTTCGATTCGCCTTCTATCCGGAAGCTCGAGGCGCTTTTGAGATACCTACATGTGGCACTAAGCACGCGCGCCTGTTGCACCGGTGTCAAAAGGCGCATACCAGCGGTAGCGAGGAGGAAAAGAGGAGTTTCTGACTCGAGGGAAGGAGGTATCTGAGAGCGCGCATGTTTAAGTAGCGGCGCAAGGTATTCGTAGACGCCCTCTGGGTTGTCTGCGAATGTAGAAAGACCTACGTGACAGAACCAGTTGAATTGTGACGAGCAGAATATCAGACGTGTACACACCTGGTTCAGCCTTCATTATCCAATCATCTCCCTCCTGAACGCCCTTCTCTACCTTGGGCAATTTGTCTCGTACATCATCTCCCTGCTCGCTAAGCACAAAATCGGGATCTTCCCAGCTATATATCTGAAGTCTTGAACCCGACGAGCCAGCGTCAATAACTATTCCAAAACGGCGCGCAGTAAGCCAAGAATTAGAGAATATCGTAGGTGGCATAGACCAGGGCCCAGCGGTAAAGCAATCGATGCTCCACTTTACAAAGACGTACACAGTAGGAAGGTGTATGTAAATGACGAGGTAGAATTTCACAGCCGCGGCCAGCCACCGCGCGGAACCCAGCTTCCCGAAGTTATCCTTTCACGACCGTTCACGATCAATCTGGCTAATTGGATAGGCAACGAACTCGTGGCAGTAATAAATTACTTTCATGCTGAATGATCGCGTGCGAGTGACCTGCTATGAATTTCTGGCAGTTCTTTCATCGACTTGGACTATCATAATTTTCGCTCAGCAGCCGCTCGGCCTCATTGGATGGTGTACTATATGAAGTGCATCGGTCACTACCTTTCCAGGGAGTCCTAAAGTATCATATAATGGACTGATATACTAGTTTATCAATGATCATACGCACGCCAACCTGAAAAAAAGCAGAAAAGTCACAGTCCTTGAATCGAAAAAAACAGCTCCCGTATTAACACAGAATACTATGTCGAAACTACATCCATACGTTCCAAACGAGCTTAAGCAAGATGCTCCTTAGAAGTTCCTCATCGCAGTACAGTGGTCTTGCGAGGTCGCGAACGCGTCCCACCCCTGGCCTCGCTTCCTTTATTCTTCGCTTTGTCTTTAGCTTTCAGATCCACGCTCCACAACCGCGCCTGCGCTTCCCTTAGGCGGAGCAGGTCAAATACCCAGTCTGTCTCCTGCGCCTTTGCTGAACCGCGCTCATGCAGCCTTTCTTCCTCTGGGTGTGAGAGGAGAGCAGCTGTAGTGCGCTCACCCGACCGCCACAGGAGTAGTTGCTGGATTGCCTCAGGGAGAAGAATGTTCACGCAGTACTGTGGGTACACAATGTTTTAATCAGTGACAAATGGTTATCCCAGAACATAAGACACACATCAAGTTTATCGAGGGTTGATAGTGATTCATATTCATGCGAACCAACTGGCTGCTGTTGGTCCTGTGCAGGCACATGGTCAATCTGTAGAAATGATGAATGATCCCGGGCGGTATTTGCGATATAGCTAGCCTACCTCCCCAGTATGCGGCAAGTCAGAGTGACCGCTAGAATCCGGCTGCAATCAAAGGTAAACATCTTGGGGAACTCAGGAGTCTGCGATAGATCTTACCTGCTCTGCAATGATCTCCTTTGGCGCAGAAGCCAGGTCAGTCGTCTTCGGCTCTGGGGAATCGTCAGCCTATACAAAAATATCAACACAAGAAATGCAAAGGCAAAAAATAAAGAGCCAACCTGGCTAGGCTTGCCAACTGTTGTGGTATCGTCATCAATCTTGTTGCTAGTATCGCTGGGAGGTATGGGCTGAGACAGTATGTCGTGACTCGCACTGTCGGAAGTTGCAGGTATATTGTCTGGCGACTTGTCAAGTGACATTGCATTGGGGTCGTCGACCTGATTGCTATTGTCACTGGGAGGTATTGGTTGAGGAATGTCAGGGTGGACCATGGTGTCGGAGGATGCAGATGTCTCGTCTGTTGTTCCAGTCTCAGTTTTGTTAACTGCCATTGCTTCAGTGTCGTTGACCTGATTGCCAACGTCACTGGGAGGTATAGGCTGAGAAATGTTGCAATCTGCCCTATCGGAAATTGCAGCTATTTCGCTTTCGACGCCAGCGTCTGCCAACCCATCGCCATTGGTGGCCAAAGTAGTTATGCTATCTTGCTCCGGGGGTGGCACCACCGCCGCTTTAGGTTTGAATTCTATATTGGTTCTACGGGCATACTCTTCTCCAAGTGCCCACCGTGCAATCAGTTTTTGCGACTGCTTAACCTCGTTCGGGTCTAGACCTCCTCTCACCGCCGCCCGCTTCATTAAACTGGATCTAGCCGCACCTCCCCGCATGAAAGCATCATGGCTCTTGCCTGCCGGGGTGTACTTCCCTTGTAGGATAGCGTTCAGTACAGGCTTCACGTATGTCAGCTGCGCATGGATCGACAACTCAGCGAAAGCATCTGCGCTAGGAGGCGGGTCGGTCAACTTTGGACTAGGGCTCCGCGTCCTGACTTCCGGTTCATCTTCCGAGTCCGGAGCCTCGGTGTCTTGGACGGCGCTTTCGAACTCGCCCAAGTCACACATAACGAAGCCTTCTTCCTCAGAGGTCCAGAATTTATCCCGGGTGAGGTTGTACTCTTGTTCATCCAGAAACTTGGCCCGATAGCGTTCCTTCCCGCCTGGCTTGGTTGGTGGAACGTATGCTATAAGCTGAGCGGGCCAGTATCTGTTACTTCTCGTCCGTAGTGCCTGCGCCAGAACGAGCTCGCCTGGTATTTGGAGCATGGGGTCCGGGGGCGGAGGAGACCAAGCGCGGTCCATAAGAGTCTCAAACTCAGTACGAGGCAGAACCTTAGCCTTCTTGGTTGAACGTAGGTCCTCTATATCGTCTTCTTCTGAAGAAAATGTCCCCCCAGTGTATGCGGAAATCATCTCAGGCATGCCATCACGCTTGAGTCCATCTGCATCCTCCATAGCTTTCACTGCTGCCTCCCATCTCTCGCACATGTCTGTCTTTGTTTTCTTGCTAGGAGAAGAGTTTGAGGATCCAGTTGTGGTGAGAGATGAGACTTGAAAAGTTGCTCGGGAAAAACGCTTTTCGCCAGACAGGTCATGAATAGGCTGGACGTTGGATTCGGATGGAGATGAAATTGTCGAAGGTTCTCGAGATAATGTCAGGTCGCCAAAGAGGGTCACGCAGAGAGGTTGTTTTTGGACGACCTAACCATTTGCTTGTTTGAATTGAGACATTTTCAGCGTGTCAGGGAATGCTCACCCTGGCAGGCCACCACATGCGGTTTTCCAGAAGCTCGATATCATCGTCGTCATGCGGGACCGAGGTGATAATGACTCCCAATTCATTCACCAGTACCCAAACTAGAGTATCGACGTTGCCGAAGCCATGTCCATCACCTCGGTCAGATGATTTTGCCTTTCCTGCCTTCCTTTTCCTTGGGGAAGTTTGGCTCCGGGGATGTGAGAAGCTGGAACTGGATACGCCAAGAGAGCGCGTGGAACCACCCCTAACCCTACTAAGCTTCTGAGGCGGTGGGGTGGAATGACTGATTATGGAACGTGGGGGAAGATCCGTGGTTGAGATAAGCGGACTTGTAGGAACGCTCGAAAATGGTGAGGGCGACAGGGTTGTGAGACTGCTTACTGTGCCTTCCCTATCCGAACCAGATTCAGAAGCCGGGGCCTTGCGTTTCTTCGAATGCGCGGATGGCTGGGAGTGTGAGGGTGTTACAGGCTTGGGTTTAGGCTTGGGTTTTGGTTTGGACTGACGCTTGGGAGATGGTGACGAGTGGTCTGTCTGTTTTAGCGGTGAAGCACGGAATTTGCCCTTGGCGTTATAGCGATATTTTACATTAGGCTGCCTACGCGATGGAGGCCCCCCAAATGAGTCTGAGGGCTCGGGCTCGTCATCAGAGTGGCCTGGCGAATCGAGCTGGTTTGCGAATACAGCGGAAGCCTGCTTTGCTGCTTTACGGGTCGGGAGGATGCGCTCAGATAGCATCGAGAAAGTGCTAGTAGTTGCCAAGCGGTAAGGACGTGCAGTATTTGTCTTTCGGTCCTATGGTAGATGGAGTAAACCCTTAAGATTACTGTCAGGACTGTATCAGCAGACTGTGTCAGCCAGACTCTCGCACTTTTGATGCCCGAGCGCGTTCTGTCACTCCGTGTCACGTCACGCGATACTTCCTCCTATCTCAACTTCAATGTATATATATCGACCAGTGTCTAGCTCTGCCTCTTTCCGTTGTCTTCTCCTTACCAAACGTAGTTTACCGGTGACTCGATTGGTCCTTCGACAATAGCTCCTACTCAGCATTCAACACGCATGCGCATTTCAAATTTGTCGCGCATTGAAACTGGATGTCAGATATCATTTTCGACATAATGATGCGATGGTGTGACAATGTCAGGACCCTGCTCGGTTCAAGTTGACAGCGGTCATGTCATAGATTTGGTAAAAGAAGATCAATCGAGCTCTCACTTCAATAATCCTGAGCGTTTGAACCACGACAGTCTGGGAAAAAAATAGAACATTCCACGTAAGACTGTACTTCTGCAAGAACAGGTGGCCAGTGTCCAAGATAAGACATTTATGTCCAACAAAAGCGCAGACTTCTAGCATGCCGCTCGAAGGCAAACGTAAGAATACACGGACAATCACATCGTCCGAGCCTTGTGTATCTTCACATCTTCTCTTGGTCTAACAAGTGGTCAAGTATCTCTGAAGATCCTAACGCAGGATGACTTACCGATCCTGCGCATCAACTGCAACAGCACCTAATCTCTGCACAACACGCATGCCTGAGCTCACCCGGCCGAAAATGGTGTGTTTACCGTCCAGGTAGGGCGTGGGTGCCAACGAAATGAAAAACTGAGATCCTAGAAGTGGGCCATTACATTCCAAGCAGTGGATAATATAAAAAAGCGGGAATCTAACCGTTGGTGTTGGGCCCCGAGTTCGCCATTGCGAGGATTCCAGCACCCGTAAAGCGTAGTTCTGGATGTATTTCATCCTCGCTGTGCACAATGCACATGTCATATGTTTACGTTTGGGATAAAGATTAACGATATACGTACAATTTCTGACCATAAATGCTCGTTCCACCTCGACCAGTTCCAGTTGGATCACCACCTTGGATCATAAAATCCTACAAGCATGATTGGTCATGAATATAGATACGTTTGCTGTAGAAAAAAAGCTCGACTGACGGCGATAATTCGATGAAACACAACACCGTTGTAGTAGCCGCGTTTTGCAAGCTCAGCAAAGTTCTGACACGTCTAGGATGGTATCTTGATCAGTTCAGTCAAAGTAAAGGCGCAAAACAATAGAATAAACCCACCCGAGGGGCATGGTTCCAGTATAATTCAAGCTGAATGTCCCCGAGACTGGTTTCGAGAACAACTGAATCCATCGTGCTATTTTCCCGACTTCCCACGCTAGTAGGAAGCTTTTGGACCCAAGCACCTATACGCTGACGCGTGGGAACCCTTTCGAGAAAACTGTACTAGTTGATCGGTGCCATCGATGACGATGATGTCGAGGTCGATGATCGTCTCTGTAATAAAACTTGTGTATGTCCTTTAATTTTAGTTTCTCTCCGTATCTTTGTTTTATTGACGAATTAAATCCAGACTAAAAGATAATCCTTAATAGTTTTCTTACACTGACTCGGATGTTTGCAATGCAGAAAATTTGTCTGCATTGTCTGCACCTGTTCTAAGTACTGTTCTGCGTGTTGGTACTAAAATATCAGATGTGCGAAATGGGGCAAGCGTCAATGCATTTCACTTCTCGACGCCGAGCTTAAGCATATCGAATGATATCCTCTTCGAGAGTCTCCTGACGGCGCCTCAGGCTGTCCCACCTACTTACACAAGATCACAGGGTACTTTGCTTGCTGCTGAGTGTGCAATTCACTTATTGATCATGCCTGGTAACGCACTATACCCATCTCATGCTGGAGCAAACATTTTGGGTGTCGTGTATTTTTTTTTTTGTTTTTGAGTTGTTGCTTAATGGCTGTTTTCTGTTAGATTCTCATTCACGAGTCTGGCGTGCTTGTTACCCGTCTATCGTCTTGCGCTCTGTCAAGGACATAGTATCAGCCTGTCTAGGACCTAGCAGTCGCGACCCTCATGGCTCCCACATGTATCAACTTGTTTTGTGGCGTATACAGTTGCTGCCATGCACAACTTACATTAAGAAAGCTCTCCACGATTCAAAAAGCAAAAGGAAGGTCAGTGACGAGTTTGTAGTGCTGCATCTGATCTGGAAGTACCTGCTTGGTGTACATACTTCGACAATTGTGATATACCAATAGACTGTTCACTGCCAATCCATCGTCATTTTTTGAAGTCGGGGACTGACGCTTCCCAGCGCTACTACAATAGTAGTAGATGACCCTCGGCAAACCCTCGGGGTAGATCTGGACAGTCGTATAGAGTTACATAATCTACATGATTGCTGTCCGAGATACTAAGACACGAGCTTGCAGTACTCAGTATCACTGCCTTTTGACGTAATGGTTAAGCAGATGACAAGTCTTGACTACTTACAGTATGCCTTATAGGATGGGATAAGTGAGTGCTGCCGCCGATGCCTGGAAGTAGGCGAGTTAACCGGTTGGCAGTGTTTTCCAACAGCACTACTGTGACATCTGGATGACACAATGTAAATGATGCGCCAGGGGTCCTGTAGACTAGAATGTATTGTCCTGCATAGAGTATACTCTCAATAGGACAGAAATTGGAGGAAAAAAAAGATGCGTCAAAGACGGTCTCTTCCAAAAATACAATTCTGCTGCCACCGTCATCATCATACCTGACATGATCAACTGACCGCTGATGGTTGATGGTTCCTATATTGATGTCAGAACAAAACCTAATTAAGAGCCATTATCAGACGAGGCGCTCAGCAAAGTTAATTGAAGCGCCAAAGAGAAGTAAATTTTATGGCTGGTAGGGTTGCAGTCAAGACAACCAACAGGTGTAGTGTCAGTGAAATTTAGCGTGATTGTGCCAATGGAATTACATGTCATTGAGCAAATGCAGACGGCAATTGACTCTACATCGCGGAATCAATGGAAAAGGGCTGTCTAGGAGAGACGCGCATGGAGGATCAGTGTGACTATGTTTAGAAGCCGGCCACTAGAGGATTATCCGACCTCCTCGTTTGGAAAGCGTCCCGGTGGTTTTTTTCTTTTTCTTTTGCTTCAGAATGTGGTCCTTTGGGGGTCATAGACCCTATGTTGCACATTGTCATCCCGGTGGTTTGTGCGGCGACGGCTCCTAGGCAGTCCCAGGTTTGGAGGCATATCGGCTGAGCAATTCGCCCCCCAGCAGTGCACTTCTGAGTCATGCTGACTTCTAATGCAGCCTACCTGAACTCAAATGAGTCGTTCAGTGACACAGCGCATGGGCTCGGATGTCTCGGATGTGAGGAAATTCACTTACATCACATTTGGCCGTCACTTGGAAGCAAGCAGGCTGCGCATGGTTGTCAAGCAATCTGAATCTATGACAGGTAGCAGCCAAGCTGATCAGATTCGAAGCGATAAGCAATACTTCCACTTTGCACTGCAAAATACCTGCCAATTGATCCTACACGATATGAGGCTAGTACAAAAAATTACTCGTTGGATCAGAGTAGTCCACATTACGCCTGCCAGATGCGCCATGGGCGTAAAGAACACGGTATAAAGGCTTCGGGTGATGTTCCATTTGGTGTTCAAGAATAACAAGTATTCTCCCGCATTCACACTGCTTCACCTCTCGCCTAGAGTCTACAGAACAGATGGATAGCCTACGCATGCATCGTAAAAAAAGACATGAACGCACCATGAATTCATCCAGATCGACACCACAAAACCCATCGTCCTTACGGTCAGGGCAGGCCCTTGACCAACATTCAACGAGACTGGCCCTGCAGTCATGTCTTAAGCACCTCGACAGGTTAGAGTATCGCGTGCACGAGGAAATCCAAGGGGTCCGTAGCCTCTTTAGGGAACTCCTTGACAACTGCCAGTCAGATGCCACAACGGAGAATTCAGGCGGATGCAATAGCACCGTCGACTCCAAAGCTGGATTCGATGACCTCAATATCATTCACTGCCTCGTGCCACAGCCTGCACCCCATGGAACATCATTCAGGGTCACGGGATTGCTGTCAGAGGGTACAGGTTCTCCCCAAGGTGAGTTGCTGTATACGCAGGCTTTTTCTTAGACACTTACCATGTACAGGTTTATTGCCCCACAACGCCCGCAGTTCTGCCAACTATGTAACTCACCCCCAGCACAGCATGTACTCGGAGGCCTTTTCGGCATCCTGCGACCCGCGTGTCACGGAATTGCCATCAGATAATGTAGATCCTCACCTTGGTTGATTCCCTATCATTCACAGCTTTTCCTTAAACGCTTACAATGTGTCCCTAGATCTATCGCTGTGTGGAACGCCCGATTATGGCTATGAGCCCGCTGTGCCACCCTTCCAAGGCATCTATTTCGAGGAACATGTCCTATCAAGTTCTTCAGCCAGACTCAGACCCGACGTGCAACTGTTTGTCCCCGTTGTGCAGGCTAGCCAAGCAAAGGACAAAGTAAAATGTACCTGGGACGGGTGCTCGGCACTCGTCAACAAGGATAACCTCACTCGCCACGTCGGGGAGGTGCATGAGGGGAAGATTAAGGCTGTTTGTGCAGACTGCGGAAGAGAATTCAAGCGTCCGTATCAGATGAATGAGCATATCCTTTCGACCAGATGTGGAAAATCGTAGATTGTTATCTTGGTAGTACACCACGGCACAAATCGTTACTGCCACCAATGCAAGTTGTTTTTTTCTTGACTTTGACTTTGACTTTGACCATGACCCCGTCGTCCTGGATTGTTAGTCAAGTCACCTGCTTTCGTTCTTGCCACCACAGCCTGAATGAGATGGATAGGCTCAGGCCAGAACTCATCGCTACGGGAGCCACAACTTGGGTATATGTTCTTTCGAGAACATCCTGCACTTTACGCGACACCCAACGCGTTGATTCGGAGGTTAGCGTGTATCAATGCGCACGCAAATGACGTAGCAGGAAATACATTGTGTGGGGGAGGAAGAATGACTTGATGGACTGCAAGTATTCCAGGAAGCTAACACCCGTGGGTCGGGGGAATCATAAACCAACATAAGTTGGGAACCGTTGATAGACGAAATGATGTGGCAGTTTAAGTGCGGACTCCTCGTCTCTGAGCAGAACTCTCGAAATTGTCTCGGCAAAGTGGTTGCGTGTTTCAGAATCATTCGGTGCAAGCCAACCGGTCGCTGCCACTGCCAAGTGAGCGCTTGAGCGGCGACGAAGAATAAGATGGCGATAAACAAGGCCAATCAGAGATACTTGTCTTGATTTCAAGAAAAAAGAGCAATAAATATTGAGACCCGTAGGTCTACCACTCCGGGAAAGCGTGTCATCCTTGTGCAGGGGCCATGCTAATCTTCTCTGTATCGTTCCAATTTTTCGTATGTCACCCCGAAGGGGACAACAGTGGGTAGAGGCATAAAGTAGACCTCAGCACAATTTTGTTTTGTTTTGAATGACGGGTTTTGCGCCATAATGGGAAATTGAGAAACTGGCTCCAAATTAGGATTCACCCGTATGAAATTATTGATGTGACCTCCTGATGCTAATGGAGTTTTGTATGACTGCTTAAGATAGACCCTTGGAGATGAGTAAATCATTCATTCAAGGCATGGTAAAAGGGGAAATGGTTATTGAGTCAAGATGGAGTCGAAGAACATCCATTGATGGTAGAATTATGTGGTAGCAGTCATTTGCCAACACAAAATGGGAAAGACTAGTCCGCATTCAATTCAATGGACACAAAACATGTCAGGCATAAGTGAGGCGAGGGCTGGCGCCGGTGCCGTGACGATATTAATATTGAAGCATATAAAAGCTATACACCGAAACACAAATTTACTAGCAAAAGTTCAAACTGAAAGATAGCAAGAATACACAAACGAAAGCAAAGCCATGACAGCATGAGGAGCGAAGCGAGGCTAGCTAACTCCTTCGGTACTCAAGATGAAGCACTTCAAACTATGGATCAGCTTTGTTGCGACTGTTTCCGAGCCTTGACCGGGAGAGTTGACGATTGATGGACTGCGACTCCTGAGAGGTCTGGAGATAGGTGATGCGGGCCCGGAGGAAGCGTCTGTGGCACAGAAGGAAATTCATCAAAGATTTCCTTCTCAAGGATACTGGGAGCAGGAGAAGATGATGAGTCCCGTGAGACCATCCAGTGCGATGGACGAGAGCTAGGTAATTCATTAGCATGGCGACTTGGAGGGCTTTTAGTTGGGGATGAGCTCGGAGGCTGGGATAATATAAACGACCTCTTCGGCGAGTTATATATCGAGCCTTGGTCTTGAGGAACGGCATACAATAATTTAGTCCATGCGAAGCTTTTCTTCTGAGCAGCTTACACACCTGTCTCCACTACGCTGACGTTCGACTTGGTTCTGTTACGGTTGAACAATTTGTCCGCAAACTTTCCCACACCGCCTTTCTTCGGAGATACACTTGGCCATGTAATACCAAAGCCTGACCCATCTCCATAATCAGATGGTGTTGCGACCGGGGCGGAGTCTTCAGAGGATGTTGAAATACTATCCCGAGGGTACGCCCCAGGCATATAGTTCGACGAACGACGACTAGTCAGCCGCCTGATGCTCGAGAGATACCTCCTATGTGAAGGAGACCGTTGTGATGCAGATGTAGAAGCCAGACTCCTCCCGTCACCCTCGTCCTCCTCGGGGATGTCCCCATCCATGTTAGGTTCTCGGATGGATGGAATAGATACAGAACGCTCTGAAAGGGAGGCGGTCTCCGCAGATGGAGCTTTAACGTGTTCCACAAATGGAGTTGTAACGTGTTCCGTAGATGGGGCTTTGACGTGTTCTGTGAGTGTCGAGGAAGATACGGATCGGAAGTCGGTTGCGAAAGTGTCGAAGGTTGGGGTTTTGGCAAGCGCGGCCTCTACCAGGTCTGAACCATCCCCCTCAGTTAGTTTCATCTCAAGCAATGCTGCTTCTTCTAGCAGGACGGCGAGTTCTCCATAGGCCGGACTCGAAAGCGGTTCGGCAGCAATAGTGATCCCCGTCCGCCGCACACGCGCAACTTGTGGTGTTATAGGTGTGGAAAGGGATGAAGTCGGTGCTGTGGTAGCGGGAACTTTTGTGACCTTGTGATGCACTATAGCCGTGAAAGAGCGCTTGACTTCAGGCTTGGTAGTCTCTATCTCTAAATCAGGTGATGGGAGGCTGGGTTGTACTTGGATCTTTGGATGAGGCACGATGATAGAGATGGTCCCACTTTCCTCAGTAGGAGGAGATACTAGTAATGATGTAGCCACGTCATCATGCTCCTTGTCATTGACATCATCGGATCCCAAGGTAATGGTAGACGTCAGGGGATGAGCCAATACCGAGTCATCTTCCGTAACCGCATTGGGGGCGACTACTAGCGAATGGGAAATAGTTGAAGACGAGTCGGGAAGGACAACTTCCGAAGGCTGAGCGTCGATCACAGATGCATCTAATGACAGTGAGCGATGATATGGTGATTGAGGCTTCTCGTCCGAAGGAGGATCAGGCTCGATAGCGGAAGTCACCTCCACGACGGTTACGACTTCTGGTGAGGACTGAGATGACGTCACGACATCCAATGCTATCACAGGCTCTGGATTAGAGTCAGCCTGCAAGCCAAGCTCTAGTACCGCTGGCTCCTGCTCTGCCTGTGACAGTGTATCCATATCTTGGGGAAGTGCATCATCTGATGAGGTGACAGGTTCAAGGGTCTGGGACGGGGCTATAATTCCAACGGGGTCTCTTACTTCCGTCGAAGGGGAAGTGGGCAGAGAAGGTGAGGGAAATTCTATATCTTCATCTGCATGCTGAGACGCCTCCCCGAGGCTGACGACACGTTGAGTAGGACCAAAATCAACTGCTAGGGAGTTGCGACGAGCAAAAGGAGAAGCCGGCGACGGTGTGGGTGGAAGCGGTGGAATAGGCACCCCCGTTTTGAATCTCGGAGGAGTGCCTTTCAAGAGTGTACCCCCGGTAGAGACACAACGTTTCCTTGGCAAGGGTGAGTCGTCCGCTGGGGGGAGAGGTGAGCCAGAGCGACTCGATGGCGAGCCGCCTGGCCTCCCCACTCGATTCCCATACAACTCTCCACGCTTCTTTGCCGGTGCGTTTTCTGCCAACTGAGGCGCACCCATTGCGAAGCTGCCTCGTGGGACAGGGACGCCTCCCTTCTCCTCAAATTTAGCGATTTTGTCGCGCAAACATCCGGTTCCACTACTCGGGAGGTTCTTTGAAGCGAATTGCTGTTGACTTGGGGAGACATTCCTCTGCTGGAGGGCAGCAATACGTTCCTTTAGATTGACTGGAGGAGGGTACGCGCGCGAAGTTGCCCTATAGTCTCATGGTTAGCATACAGAGACATACCAGAAGTTGTCCACGTACATTGACCGGGTAAACTTTATTGAGATTTGAAACGACTCGGAGGTGTGGATAATTGGTGATGCGGCGGGTTGAAGCGTTGTGACCGCGAAATCAAATGAACGAAGAACCCAAGAACAATTGGCGCCAGTTGGAACGTCGCAAATCTCCAAATGCCAATGGAATTGCCACTAAAACAAAGTTCAAGCGACTGAGAAAGGTTCAACGACTGGCTAGCAACGGTTGTGCATGAAACCAAGATTAAGTGAGTGTGAGTAACCATCTGATGCACCAAGATGTTCTAACTCCCTCATCTCCAAATATACTTACTTGGTTAACTTTGTCTACTTCGAGCTTATTCGGCCCCGACTTGTAACCTTGCTAAATACTTCTACTTCTCCGGTTCTCTGATGCACCGTAATACTATGTCATTAGCTACTGTCTTCGGCACTGTCGACCCCAATCGCCTTGGAAAGCCAAAATGATCTGCGTTTGCTCGTCATACTTCGCATTTTATCACCAGAGGCCCCGTTATCTAGACCCATATTATAGTGCACTTCTTCCTCATCTACTGAGTCATCTTCGTCGGTGGTGAATTCGGGTTGCTCATCTGACTGACTAGCTTCATTCCTCTGTACGGTGCGCCGCCTCTCGATATGGTATTTACCAAGCTCGTCCTTATCTTGACAGGAACCACTGGGTTCCTGCGGTAGCGACTCATCGCCGGATTCGAGCACCATATCCACGCTACGCTCCCGGGTCCGTGTGCTGCTGCTTGCAATCATCGACGATTTGTCCTGAGTAGCAGTTTCAAGGACATCGGCAACAACTATACGGGGCTTGGGAGAGGTCCCGAGCAGCTTATGGAGCAACCGCTGGTCATAAACTTCTTGAATTAATAGTCGGTTGTTCAAAGTCTGTTGCGATGTTTAACATCCGTTGAGAGTATAAAGAGAGCTATACCTCTTGGGTGACGCCAAGTATACTGGACAAAATGCTCATGTCCTCTGGTTCCCTGTGTCCACGTAAAGAGTAAGTCCGCCCTTCCTTACGTGCACCTAAGATCCCAGCCCGCAAGAAGGCCATTGATGTCATGATTCCGTGGGCTCCTGCAAGAGTCTGCCGAACTTTTGCAATTCCGTAAGAGCCTTTGGAAATATCATTCGCTGGTGGTAAAGGGAGCAATGGTGAACCATATGTGAAAACTTTCAAAAGATTTAGCTCACAAGGATCGGTAGGGTCCTCGATGGACAAGAGGTTCCTCTTTGTGAAATCGTACCATCCTCTCTGTCTCTTGCTAAAATATGAGCCACCGTTACGCACGGATATCCCTACCTCCTCATAATTAAAATAGCAACCATAGAGCTCAAAGAACTCCATAACCAAAACTCCAAGATTCTTCTCTGCATCTATCTCCCCTCTGCGAATCTTGGGATGCATCTGGAGGAAGCTGACTGCCATACAAACAATACTGTAGCTGCCCAGACCACCGGTATACACTTCGTTCATCGCCCGCTGATTTAGAAATGCTTTTGCGATGATGACGAGACTCCGGAGCGCAAACCCACATCCGCGCATGCCGGTCAGAAAGCCGTTCACGATATCGCCCGCGACGACGCCATTACCCTGATTTATGCTGATATCCACGTTCAACCTGCCATAAACCGTGACGAATTTGATGATAGGCACTTTGGCTTTGGCAATGATGGTGACTTTGGAAGCGATCCGCGCGCGTTTGATGACATTAGCGAGGGTCCGTAGGACATTCACTTTATCGCTGTACGCCATCGACTCTGATTTGATCACAAGATCTATGTCCCTGAGCAATTATTAGTATCGACTCTAACACGATACATGTAATGTTTACCCATTAGGGAGGTATAGTTTGGTTTCATAGCTTCCAAAGGGTAGTATCTGGGCATCTGGGAATGCATTCGTGATCGCATTCGAAACAAGAATGATTACCAGTCCTCGTATTTCCTCTTCGACTTCAGTTGGTGACATGTAACGAACGAATGCCTCAACCTCGCGATGCAACCTGTGGCAAATCAGCTCACAACGTCAAGGAAAGTTACAAAACATACATCTCCGGAACATTGCGACAGCTGTCCCAGTCGACTTTGGCAATCCAAGGAGCCTTTCTTGAAGTAGGGGCAAAGTCCTGTCTGCGCTTTTTGTGGTCCCTCAAATCTTCATCATCAAAGACCATTTCGTACGTTCGTTTTGTTCCCCGACCACCTCCATCTCGCGAGCCATCCCCGTGTGTTTCTCGTTTCCCTTTGTCCCATTCTCGTTCCCGCGCTTTCTCTTTTATTATTTCCACATTACTGCGATGAGAGTCCTGTGTTTTGGGTGCTTCTGCTTCATTATCACTGACCGCAAACGGTATGAATTCGTCGCCGAACGGTCTACTTGAGTCATTGGGTAGTTCGCCTAGCTCAAGTTCAGAATCCTTTTCTTTGCCTTTGCCATTGGTTCTTGCGCGTTTTGAACGTGGCTCCCTTGGTGTCCTATCATAGTCGTGTTCAACAGCCATTTCTTTTGCGTGCCCCCTCTCATCCTCCTGTTCTTTTGTTCGTTTCCGTCGATGACTCCGAGGTGCCCGAGATTTTTGCCGTGACTGAGGAACCGTATCTGACATCGTTGCCTGTCCAACACGCCGCTGTCAGAATAAAGGGTGTTTGTTTGGATCAGAAGCTGTTGCCAAACAAACACTCCGTGAATTCCCTTGTTAATGAACAAGTACATGTATATTTTTCACAAACCATCACCATAACATAGCATATATAACATTTGTACAAGTAATAACACGAAGGGCAGAAAATACAATGAAGCAAGATGTATTAAGTGAACTTCACCCTCTTCAAATGGGTCCTTGCGTGCACTGCTGCTGTGTCCTCCTTTCCACCATCCTCTAAATGGGTATCACTTTCCGCGAAATAATAAACCCTGGTGCCAATCTCTTGCACATCCCTCCCGTTCCCAGTCCAACCACACCGTATTGATGTCACACTCTTTGCTTTTGCCTCATCTGATAGACCCTTCGCGGCTCCAGTGGACCTCACGTAAACCAGTGACTCGGCTCCCGCTGGGAATTCATTAAAATCCAGGTCCAAGTGAACCATTCCGATAATGTTGAGGAACCCCTCCGCGATTTGAAGAAGCTCCTGATTTCTGGAGCTGGCTATCCATCTTTCATGAGCGCGCACGTCATCCCATCCAGTGATGAGGTAGATCTCAGCAGGCTCTGCTGAATTTGTGAAGAAGGTTAACGGATAACCTGAAGAGGATGATTGCCAGGAAGAAACCTTGGAGAAGAAATCGATTACATGCGGGTCGGAGAGTGTATTAGGGGGGATCAACGAGAGGGATGCGAATTCTGTGACTGGCATAATGAACTGTCTTGATGTCGTTGGACCACAATTGAACCTGGTGGGCGCTGAAGTAATGAATCAAAACTATTTGGTACCGTTGGCTCCTGTGCATTTAAATACGCTGTACGCGTCAGCGCCACTATTACGTTGGCCTGGATGAGCTTGCGTCATTCAAGGATCCTGCCAACTCCTGGCTATCTCGACATCGTCGTAAATGACTGAGAGTGCTCTCAATCGAACATCGTGTATATATTGAAAATCATGAAAGTGATAAAAATGCTCCAAGGTTAAGTGGGGATCTGGGTAGGAGGGTACCCACTAAGAACGGTGGAGAGCGCCTTTGCCAAAATACTAGATAGAAATAGTATTATCAGGAACAATTAGACACGTAACAGCAGGAGCATACTTGTGAACAGTGAACAGCGGACGCGGACCATTAAGCGAGCTACAAAACAATACATTAGAATCGCTTGCGAGCCCCGAACTGACCTACAAGTAGCTCGACGCAGGCGCACAGCCCTCAACTTGGTAAGTCGGAGTGAGAATCCCATCCTCTTAAGCTTGGCAGTAACCAGTGACGTTCACGAAACTGAAAGTCTACCACTCATCACGCAAGGCATTGTAGATGGGCAGAGTGTCAACCACGGCGATGGTGCCAAGATGGGTGATTGGATTGGAAGATTCACGTACCATGCGCGAGCTGTGCATTGTACCTAGTGATATTAGTACCCATTTTGGCTGCAACGTCAGGACCTCGCTCGATAAAGACGGTTGCGCAGTCGATACGACTCGATAGGTGTGTGGGTGAGGAACAAGAACCATCGAGTGCGCTTTGAGTACAGATCCTCTGCCTGATGCAATAATGTCCATAGCATGACAAACGTTCCAGGTACAATCTTCACCACCTGGGAAAACAGACTGTCCATGAGAGTCTCATGAAATTCAATTTGAGTTGTGTTTGTCTGGATGCAAATGATCAGCGACAAAGACTTTCATCACAGGCATGATAAGAATGACCCACTCAGTCGAGAGATCTCGCCTACATATTTGTATTTAAACACCTGGGATGATAAGACAAAAGAACTCGTGTAGGAGGGCCGAGACTGATCAAGATCGTGCCGGTAACCATATGGACTGAATACAAGACTGATCGTGGCTCACGATTACCCGTGTCAATGGCAGTCCATACGCTTCAATTCCAAGAAGCATCATCCATAAGATTTCGACTACATGGAGCATCTTCAAGATGTCAAATTTTCAGCAGGTATAACATAAAAACCAAGGCCCAATCGATGGGACGAAGTACAGTACAAGACTAACTTGAAAGTCACGGAGGAGATGATATAGATTCCTCGTGCCAGAATTTCCTTGTTTTGATGTGAAAACATTCAGAAACACTGGTGAGAAGTCTGAAGTGTTCGCTCACATTAAATTACTCAGGGTATCAGTTGCGCGATATCGGCATAGAGGTGTTCCCTTTTTATCTTCTCTTGAAGAAGGCGGGCTAGATATGTGTCCTCGTTACGACCTGCAGCGCGAATAATTTGCTTATCTTGATCTGTCATCTCAGTGCGTAGATACAATTGATTATCCTTATCTGCCCGAATATGCATGTTGATAGTCCTATGCAAGGTAAGGGGAGCCTAGAATTGAAAAGATGAGAACAGAGAACCCACTCTAGACATGACATAGCACTCATGGGTTTCCTGGTTTCTGCGCCCGTGACAGCAGAGACAAGTAAGAAAGGCTCTCGAGCCTTGGCGATGTCAAGGACAACACGTGGGAAGTGCAGCTCGACGGTTGCCGCATTCCCAGAGTGTTCTGTGCAAGTAGCATCAATGAAATCCACGAGTCCAACAGGATCTTTGGCAAAACCCTCTGCGTCATGCCTTGCCCGAGCCTCACGCCATTTGTCCACCCGCTCTGGCGTAAGTTCATACTGTGCCATTGCATTGACCTGCACCATCCCTTGAAGCTTCTCCCCAAATGATTTGCTGCCCAAATACAATCCAGCGAAGTCTAGGACATCACTCGGCTCAATTGCAATATCAACGCGCACCCCGAACGGCACGTCGAATCCGATCCGGGGATTGTCATTCAGGCCACAGTCGATGACGACACCAATTTTGAGGAAACTCATGAGTAACGGATTCAAAATGAACATTCGTATGAATTTGAGAGCTCCCGAGGAGCGTTCAACTTCGTGGCATCTCGGTTTGTGGGTGGACCTAATATCCTAGCGTGAGTCACAAGTCCAAGGCTGGAGTGAGTGTCAATCATAGGCGGCATCCTCACCAGTGTTTCTTTTGACACTAGGAACCGTGACATGTCAGCACTTGCAAATATTTGCATCGTTTCAGTCGCAAATCCTACCTCTCTTGAGCAATACCAAACGCTCTTACACTAAAAATATTTGCCAGACTGAGGAACGCCTATAACTTCAGTTGGATATTTGACTGTCACCTTTGCGCATTTCAAAGGTTTCGCCAATGATATTTGACACTGCGTACATCGTATGCGAAGCATTTTCCGGTTCGCTTTGAGGAATTCGCTAGAAACCGCTATAGCACGGAACTGATTGTCCCTCTCGGGATGAGTCACATGCTGAAGCACAACGACTGTTGGAGTTGCAGAGGAATTGTTCGTGTCAGTACTCATGTTCTGGCAAAGGCGGTAAGAGACTCGGATGAGTTTGGTGGCGAGGTGAGCGCGAGCAGTGGATTTCACAAGGGATACTTAATTAAAATGTTTGTGACATGATCTGAAGAAGGCTTCACGTACAATTGGCGACGGGCGTACCCGCCAGTGAGTAAAGTACTAATACCTGCTGCAGTACTTATTTCTACATATTGTAAGAACGGCAATGCCATGTGCGCGCACCACTTGAGCTTGATCCATATTGATTATAATACATATTGCCTCCCTCCAGATAAACGAAGGTCAATCTGTCAGTTATTCTCTATTGTCGAGAAACCAACATCTATGCTCGCCCTCATGTGATCGCCATAACGAATTGTCAAGAAGATGATCCTACAAAAGAAATTTTGAAGCATTACTATGTCAGTATCACCGGTCTTGTGGTCAAAAAGTCCCTCACCCTTGTCCAATGATCGCCAAAACAGCCGCGATGATATTCGTCCACGCAACACCTATACGCTCGATCGATGGAACGATAATAGTAGAGGCAGCAGACAGAATGAGCGACCAGCTCGCTCTAACAGGTACATGGATGCGTTCAGGTTTGATAGTCACGCAATATCATAGAGACTAACATGCAAGCAGCTGTGGCCTCAGCACTTCGAGAATGTACCACGTCCACGTTATAAGAGTTGATAGGATTCGTTACTGAATCGACCTATAAAATCGGTGAATTGCATTATGTACGAGGTGAGGGGACCAGCTGGTAGGACTTACCCCCACTCCATTCGCATAGAGGCATAATATATTCAGCGCGAGGCCGATCGGGCCCCCAATATACGTTGTGATCAGCCCTGACGCCCCAACAGACAACGGGACAATAATCAGCCCTCCGATCCATGTTGCTCTCAAACGATCTTCGGGACACCACGCTCCTCTGCGCTTCTCCCGCCATCTTCTGATTACAATGTCCGATAGGCGGCCAGCAATAAGAGTTCCGGCTGTTAAAGATTGTATTGGTGCTCCGCGAGTACAATGCTCTGCACATACTGAAACTTCCCAGTCCATTTGGGAGGAAAAACGCCCCGATGATGGCTTCGTTCGTGATTCCATACTGGACGCCCTACACCACGATCAGGACAGGATGCAAGATGGAAGACAATTGTCAGCTTACAATAGTATACGCCATCGGTACGACGAGAACTGCATTGTTTTAAGTGAGAATGCACTGCACAATCAGTAACAAGTAACGACACACCATACATAGTGTTGACCATTAGAGCTGACACAAGCATCTACATCTCACACAAATTGAGAATTTGCACTAGCGCATGGTAAATGCACTCACAACCGCAAATAGGTTTGGACTGCGAAGCAACCAAAGAGTGCTTAGAGGATTAATCCATACGATATGTATCGATCTCCTGGACGGTACTTTATCGATGCCCAATGTGCCGGGATGACTCGTCTCAGGCAACGAAAGGTATATGAAAAGCATCTCGAGTAATCCCCATGCACCAATGGAATAATGCAAATTGCGCCAGGACCAATACTGTGTCGCCGCACCTGCTCAAATGCGTCGCTAGAGTCAGCGGCCAAAAACATCCAGAATGCATTTACCTCCAACAAACGGGGCAACAGTGTACCCGATAAGTGTGATCTGAGATATGTCAGTACCAAACCGAAAAAACCATTCAAACATCATGGTTCCTCACACTAAAGAATGCCCCGACAGCAGTCCCCCTCTCCTCCAATTTATAGAGGTCACCAATTACGCCAATCCCCAACGACAACGCCCCAGAGCATCCAAACATCTGCACGAATCGCCAGAATAACAGACTCTGCAATGAAGCCGACAGGGCAACACCACAGCTCCCAACACAGATAAACGGCATTCCCCACAGGTATATTGTTCGGCGTCCATCTATACTAGGACTGTGGTTAGAACTCAACAGCTACCACGAGTACAATACACGCCGTGGATGCACGCACAGAACGACGAATAAGAAGCCCAAATCAACGCTCCGATGGCATTAGCAAAGATCGATATGCTAAAAGCCAAGCTGGGAAATAGTTCAATCACTACACATCGGATGAGCATACAACACACACCTGACGACAGCATCCGTTAAGTCGAGATCTTTAGCTATCCGAGGGATCGAAGGCACGAACGTCACTTGGATGAACACTGACCAATGTTCATCAGTATCACGCCTCCGTGTCGACAGTACGCTTAAACTCCCAGTACTCACTAGCCAACAAACCCACAAAGGACACGCGAAACAGGATCCACTTCTTTTGGTTTGGCGTGAATCGGTCATAGATAGCTTCATGCGGGGTGGACACCAGCAAAGGGCTTTCTTCTGAGGCCATGGTGAGTCGTGAGTTGACTCCCTGAGAAGGATCAGCTGCCTACCTGCCGGCCAGACATCACGAGTCAAGACCGTGACCGATATATTGCCGATATATGTAATAGGTACCTGTTGCAAGTTACTAATGTACGTACGTGTTTGAGCGAGTGCATCATTCTGGATGCTAGCATTCTAGATTCTTACCGTGAAACATCATCAGCACAATACCTCGATATGCGATTCCTAACCAGCCGCAGTTGTCTTCTGGTTTAAATCGGTTATGATTCACCACCAGGTCCAGGAGAGAGAATGGTCTTCGTTTCGTGGGAATCTGGGTCAGTCGGTAACCCTATAGGCTATCATTACCTGAGCAATTCTGCCTCAGCGGTCTTGATTTTTTCTCTGCGTTCGTCCTCAAGGCCATCTGCATTCCGTTTCAGCCTATCTACTTGTAAATATTTAATTTAACTGTGTGGCACAAGCCATTGTTCACGCATTTTGGATATTCTGTTTCTGTTCAAGTAAGTATTCGCAGCAAGTTCACATTATCCAGATGAGTTCGGCCTTATTTGACGAAGCAAGTGGTTAATTTGGTGCAATTTGCCATGAAGCAATGAGTAGTGAGTAGAAGCAGCTATGCGCATCACTCTGTTTGATGAGTACTGATCTCCGGTGGTAGGCCATCTGATATTTGGATGTATTTGAGATTTCTACTGACAGCACGGAAACCATTTAGAGTGAATGGGACTCGCGAGCCGCAATGCCCGCTGTTCTATTGTCAGCAACTCTTCTCTGGTTCATTTGCTAAAATGCTAGACAGAAAGAGTGCCATCAGGAACAATCAGGCACATAACAGCAGGAGCATACCTGTGAACAGTGAACAGTGAACAGTGGGTGCAAAGCACTGAGCCGGCTACAAAACAACACCATTAGAATCGACTGGGAGCCTTGAACTGACCTACAAGTAGCTCGACGCAGGTGCACAACCCTGAGTGTGAATGCCATCCTCTTAAGCTCTGCAGTAACCAGTGACGTTCATGAAACCGAAAGTCTGTCAGTCGTCAAGCAGGGCATTGTAGATGTGAGGAGTGTCAACCAGTGACGGTCTCAAGATGGGTGCTTGGATTTGAAGGTTCACACAGAATCCGTGGGCTGCACATTGTACCCAGCAATATCAGTGCCCATTTTCGCTGCAGCGTCAGGACCCCATTCGATGAAGAGGGTTGCGCGATCGATAGCTGTATGAGTGAGGAACAACCATCAAGCACCCTTTGAGTACAGATCCTCAACCTGATGCAATAAGGTCAAACGCTTCACGTACAATCTTCACCACCTGGGAAAACAGACTTTCCATCATAAAATTCAATTTGAGTGATATTTGTCTGGATGCAAATGGATCAGGGATGAAGACTCCCAATACAGGCATGATGAGAATGACTCACCCAGCCGAGAGATATCGTCTGCATATTTATATTTAAACACACAAAGTATTTGGAATCCTGCAGAACACCTGGCCATGCAAGATCTTCCAGCGATTATATTGTCAATTTGCGACGTCAGTAAAGATGATAAGATGAAAGAACTCGTATATGAGGGCCAAGACTGATCAAGATCGTGCTGGTAGCCATATGGACTGAATCTTCGACTACATAGAGCTGCAAGCATCTTCAAGATGTCAAATTTTCGGCAGATACAACATAAGAACTAAGGCCCCATCGATGGGATGAAACACAGTACAAGACTGACTTGAAAGTCACAAGGAAGAGGATACAGATCGCTCGTGCCAAAATTTCCTTGTTTTGATGCGAAGATTCAGAAAGACTGGCGAGTAGCCTAGAATGTTTGCTCACATTATGTAAACTACTCAGTGCGTCGTTGCACAATATTGGCATACAGGTGTTCTCTTTGCATCTTCGTTTCAACAAGGCGGGCCAGATATGTGTCCTCGTTGCGACCTGCAGCGCGAATAATTTCCTTATCTTGATCTGTCATCTCAGTACGTAAGAGCAGCTGATTATCTTTATCTGCACGGATATGCATGTTGATGGTCCTATGCAATGTAAGGGGTATTGAGAAAATAAGAACAGAGAACTTACTCTAGCCATGTCATAGCACTCATGGGTTTCCTAATTTCTGCGCCCGTGATAGCAGAGACGCCCAATACATGTTCTCGTGGCTTTGCCATGTCAAGGATACCAGGTAGGATGTGCAACTCAGCGGTCATTGCATTCCCAAAGTCCTTTGTGCAGTTAGCATCGATGAAATCTACGAGTCCAACAGGATCTTGGGCAAAACCCTCTGCGTCATGCCTTGCCCGAGCCTCACGCCATTTGCCTACCCGCTCAGACGTAAGTTCCCATGACATCATGGCATTGAGCTGCACCATTCCTTGAAGCTTCTCCCCAAGAGATTTGCTGCCCAAATACAATCCAACGAAGTCTAGGATATTACTTGGCTCAATGGCAATATCAACGCGCACCCCGAACGGCACGTCGAATCCGATCCGGGGATTGTCAAGCAGGCCACAGTCGATGACAGCACCAATTTTGAGGAGCCCCATGAGTATCGGGTTCAGAATGAACATTCGTATGAATTTGAGGGTTCCCGAGGAGCGTTCGACTTCGTGGCACCTCGGTTTGTGGGTGGGCCTATCATAGGGTGTCAAGGCTGGAGTAAGTGTCAATCATAGGCGGCATTCTCACCAGTGTTTCCTTTGACACTGGACCGTGACATGTCAGTGCTTCAAATAGTTGTGTCGTTCCAGTCGCAAATCCTACCTCTTTTGAGCAATACCAAACGCTCTTACACTAAAAGAAATTTGCGACGCTGAGAAGTGAGAACGCCTGTAACATCATCTGGATATTTGACCGTTACCTTTGCACATTTCAAAGGTTTCTCCAATGACATTTGACACTGCGTACATTGTACGCGAAACATTTTCTGGTTCGCTTTGAGGAATTCACTAGAAACCGCTGTAGCACGGAACTCATTGTCCCTCTCGGGATGAGTCACATGATGAACGACGACTCCTCTTGGAGTTGCAAAAGAGTTGTTTGGGTCGGTACTCATGATGTTCTGGCGAAGGCGGTAGGAGATGAGTTTGGTGGCGAGTTGAGCGCCAACAGTGGACTTTGCAAGGGATACATAATTCAAATAGAGTCTACGACATGATCCGAAGAAGGTATCACGTACTTGGCAAGAGAGAAAGATAATTTCTATATTTATGCCGCAGCTATATGACATATACTGGCGCCAGGCATAGTATGAGTTAAGGAAAATGGGCATGGTACGAACCATAGCCAATAGTGTCTTTTTTTGCAAAGGTGTTGATTTTTTTTCCAGCTTGCGCGTTCAGATGGCGTCCATGCTGATAAAAAAAACTCTCCACACATTGCAGAGCTCTTTCCGTCGACACGCAGGTGATGTATTTTAATCAGGTAGAATTTCATTACACACGTGACTACTCGAAGACTATGATGTTAGTTGGCAGGCCGCAGGTGAGTCATCCTAAGGCCGGTGCCTCCCTTCCCGCGGCATCCTTAGCTTTCTGGATGAAGCCGATTGTTTTATCATAAGCCGGACGGCCTCTGCGATATTATTCAGTGACTAATACTAACCCATACCTCACAATGGGTAGTGGGTAGAAGCTGTATGCATCAGACTGTTTTGATGATGAGTCTGCCATCTGAGATTCGTGTTTTCACTGATGTAGATCTGATTACGACTCACCATGCCCCGCTCCTTTATTTTCTCCGGTCTCTGCATTCCAAATGATACCACGGTCATGGTGTACTTCTCTGCTGCTAATGTTATCTCATCGTAGGGTGTACGACACCACATTTTCCCAGCTGCCAGTGATTCTGAGTGGCCCAAGGACTGGATTTTCTCGTCTCTCTCCTCCGTACGCATACCGTTTCGTCCCATGATGCACGTGCAAATGTCTCGCTGTCTGGCACAAACACGACATCGCGAACCACACCCTCATAGTCCTTACACGAGACAGACTGAACTTTCCAGATCAGGATTTTTCCATTCCCTCCTCCGCTCACAACCCAACACCCTTATGAGGATCCCGCAACCGTTTAGACAGTGTCATCGTGACCCAACAAGGGCTCCACTTATTTCCAACTTGTCCAGATTCCACACTCGGAGACGCCTGTCGACCGAGCTAGTTGAGGAGGACACGGGTATCGAGGATGAAAGCTCGTTCATCAATTCTCCATGACTCTTGAGCGTCAGTCCGAGTAGTGGTGATCGCCATTCAATCTTGTCTAGTGTCTCAGTCAGCAGGAGTGTTGAACGGGGAGCAGACACTTACATGCGCTATGCCGGGTGGTGGTCAAGTCGACATCCTACTGTCCCTAAATCCTCGCCATAGACACTGACGGCCAATTCTCAACCAGCGCGTCTCCAATACGACCCATGATGTCAGGCACCATCAGATTTGAGGATAGGTTTCTACGTGTTGCTCATCTAGGTCTATCTATTCGGCTGTAGTCTCTGTTCCTGAATGCGTCTTCTGCCTGAATGGACTGGTCATCTTCGCAACATGCTCAATTATGTCTTTCGCAACTCTTCAAGCCAGATGGTTCTGCTAGATTCTCATTGAAACATTTGACCACCATACGGACGCACGACTTCAGAATTGGCTAGCCCACGTCTTCGCTCCAGTCAACAGTGAACTTGGGTCATGTACAAATTCCGCTAACTCTTGACTGTTTTGAGAATAGCCGAGATCACACACCCTACGGCTCAACCGAACGTTGTATAAAAGTGGTGACGAGGATTCAGGTTTAGATGGCGATCTGCGTGGCAGGGTAACCACTAAGGGCGGTGGAGACCGCCTTTGCCAAAATGCTAGATAGAAATACTATCATCAGGAACAATCAAACATTCAACTTCAGGAGCGTACTTGTGAACAGTGAATAGTGGGTGCAGATCGTTAAGCCAGCTATAAAACAACACCATTAGAATCGCCTAGGACTTTCGAATTAACTTACAAGTAGTTCGACACAGGTGCACAATCCTCAACCTGGTACGTGGTAGTGGGAGTGCCATTTTCGTAAGCTTCGCAGTAACCAGTGACATTCACGAAACCGAAAGTCTGCCAGTTGTCAAGAAGTACGTTGAAGATGGGCTGAGTGTCCACCACAGTGACGGTGTCAAGGTCCGGGTGCTTGGATTTGAAGGTTCGTACGGATTGCGTGAGTTGCGTATTGTACTCAGCAACGTTGGTGCCCATTTTCGCTGCAGCCTTTGGACCCTGCTGGATGTAGAGGGGTGCGCGATTCACAGATGGAACAGTGAGGAACAAGAACGATCGAGCGCCCTTTGAGTGCAAATCTTCAACCTGATTTAAGGATGTCAATAGCATATCGAACGCTCCGGGTACAACCCTCCTTACCTGGGAAAACAGACGGTCCATGAGAGTTCCATAGAATTTAACTCGAGTGATGTTGGTCTGGGTACAAAGCGATCAGCGACAATTACTATTCCCATCCCGAGTACAATGAGAATAACCCACCCAGCTTTCAGAGTTTCCCTGGATATATAAATTTAACTATTCGAAATTCACGGGATTGTGCGGAATATACTTACAATATCATTTATCCCAATCCACACAGCGAACAGACTGTTTGTACTGTCCCATGCGGCGCCAGAAGGCTTGGATGCTAGGTACTTGTCGAATTGAGCCACCTGATCAACCACAGAGCTGCAAATATCATTCAGACAACGACCGAATAGAAGGACTATACACACAGCACAGTGGGTCGATAAGGTGGAACAAGGGCTGCATCTATTGTTGCACCACTGTACGCCAAGTCGAAGGTCTGGACTTCATATATCAGTATACCAGCCAGATAAGTGCATTATACTACTATCACCTTCACGGCCTTTTGGTTGTATGTACCGGCTATTGCGGTGTCAGATACAGAGTATAGTGTTCCTTTCTCTTGTTACTTACTCAAAAATTGAACCCAGTTCTGACCATCTGATGAAGTCTGATGATATGAGGTCGGTCAAAGAAACAGTCAAAACACAGGCCAAATGCTTACATATCCCGGGACTGGTGAGTTGATACCAGCAGAGATGTTGTATCCATCGGTGCTGTACGAGTCTCCAAATACAAACATGTATTCTGTCGCGTTCCACGAAAGGGCTGATGCGAAAGAGCTCGAACAGAGTAAACCAATACTGGCGACGACTAGGCTGCGCGCCATCTCCGGAGAACGCTAGAAGGGATAAAATGGGTGGATTAAACGTACAACCGTCATCATCTTTTATATAACCATGCTACAGGACCATATTCCGTAATCCGACAATAGTGCGCATTTCGGACTACATACCGCATGGAAATGGCACTCGACCTATTCGTGAGGTTCGGATAAAGGAATGGCCTCTGCCGGGCAAGAACGGGTTCAAATCCAGTGTTTCCCCGAGCGAAGCCATATTACCTGGGGGATAGGGAAATAATTATGTTGATCCATTAGACGATACCAATTCGTTGAGTGATACCTGTGCTTTGCCACGAGATCTACGTGGATCATGCGTGAAGGTCACCGCAAATGTCATGATGATCATTTGCCTTTATGGGTCCGTGCGCAATGAGTTAGCACACATGGATTGACGGTTGGTTGTCAGGCAGGCAAATGAGCACACATTAGTAACACGATTATTCCGAGTTCTTTTGTGACAAAGTAGAGTGCTTTACGAGGGAGAATGGCAGATGGGCTCAAGTTGCAGAATTGACTGTGCTGCGTGATGGTATGAGATGTATATTCTTTTGAGCTAGTTTATTGGATGAAGGGTTGATAAGTATTTATATAACGGATAGGGGCAGCGATACCGAAGGACGAAACGGCATTCATGTTGCAGCAGCAGCATTGCGAAGTCACAAGAACGCCTAGCAAGCGCACACCCGAGGTGTATTATTGGCAAAAAAAAAACATTGCACCTCAGCTAAAATATCATCTACACGGTGATCCTATCATATAAGTATGTTCTTCGGGAAACTCAAATGTTACTGACCATTTATCTCTGTCTAGATCAATGCGAGATGTCGGGGGCACTTAATCATATAGCAAAAACCGCACGTCCTACTGTGGAAGGGCGACCAATCTCGTTCTCTCTTAGCCTGACTCGGAGGTGCTATTACCACAGCCAACCAATATCAAGCGATTGATTCGCGACATCTATGTTGTCACTTATTAGTACAAGATGAATGTAAGAAGAGATCTTGGGTCGACTGACTCGGGAAATTATATTAGTTACGACAGACGCCTACGGCGCCTACCGAAGAAAACTCCTGGAAGAAGCGCTGAAAATGATCCGTATGCAGGATACCACGTGTCTACAGCAAAGCCGACAGAGTCAGGGTGCAGGGATAGTCAGTATCTTACAGAAGATGCAACTTAACGACTACTCACTATAGCGCATGTAAGTGATTGCTGCTCCCTCAGTATTCCTGCTAACCGAGACGCGGAACAAGATTGAATGGCGGTCACCACCCACAAAGCATCTACAAAAGCGCCCGCCCAGTCTGCTAAACTGACACTCAAGGGTCATGAGGGATTTGTGCACGAAGTAGCTTTCATCCTCAATACCCGTCTCCTTGTCACTGGCTCAGCCGACGACAGTCTTCGGGTGTGGGATCTGGACACGGGGAAACAAGTGGGAGAGCCCTTGTTGGGACACGATGACAGAGTCTGCGCGGTCTCGGCGTCCCCTGATGGACGTTGGATAGCGAGTGGAGGACGGAATGGAAGCATCCTGGTCTGGGAAGTTGTGACAAACAAGACAGAGCTCAAAAGAGTGCCCGTCTCGTTTAAGGGCCATGAGAATGTGGTTGACGGCATCATATTTGCACCGGACAACAAGACATTTGCAAGTGCATCATGGGACAACATGGTATGCGTGTGGAAGAGGAAGACGGGAAAAATAGTCCTTGGTCCACTCAAAGTGGGCAGTGATCCAAACTCGGTGTCGTACTCCTCCGATGGAACAAAACTATGTAGTAGCAGGCGCAGAGACTGAGAGAAGCATATCATCATTTGGAATTCAGCAAGTGGAGAAGAGTTGCTGAAAATAGAACAGCGGGCGTGGCGAGTCGCATTCACTTCAGATGGTCTCCGTCTCGTCAGTGGAAACCTGAATGACATCCGAAATTCCGAATATCAGATGCTACCACCGGAGATATCATCAAACAGTTCGACGCGCACACCGACTTCTTTTTCTCACTAGCCATTGCTCCAAATGGCGCCAAATTCGCCACCACATCATATGACAAGACGACGCGGTTCTTTGACCTAACCACATTCGAACCCATCGGCGAGCCACTCGAGCACCCTGATGAAGTCTGGTGTGTGGCATTTTCCGAGGACAGCAAACTCATCGCGACTGGCTGTGCTGACAACCATGCTCGCACATGGACAGCTCCTTTGAGTGAGTCAGAGAAGGAGCTTCAACAGGTGAGCAAATTATCTCGTCGTATCATACTTCACGCCCGCTGACCTGTCATATAGTCCACTCAGAAAATTCTCAAGGTACGCCGCTTGCACGCTCGTGGTTTTGCACAATCCCTAATTTCAGTCCTGCAGAACACCATCCCGGACCCACGGCCTCGCCCAAGACGCGCTCCAATTCCGACTAGTAGATTCTTCGATGATGCAAGTCCATATGATACAGTAGACCTGATGCACGTCTCACTATCCTTTGATAGTTTGATCCAACTGGAAGCAACAATCGCGCCGGCACTACGCGCAACGCCAAAGGCTCCAAAATCAAAAACGTGGTAGATCATATCTTTTCTCGCTCCTCCGCTTCCCAGGACCAAACACCTCGCCCACGCGAGGTTCCCCTTGTGGACGTCTCTGCAACGCGAGGCAAATATGTAAGCTTTCCTGACTTTTTGACATTCATGTAGTGACGTTGATATTGTCTCGCAGCGCACTGCTAATGCCCACAGTGGAAAAAGGGATAGGTTGTTGCAGCTGCAATGTCCTCCTCGCAAGCAAGCCCACGCTGGCGCCTCAAGCAGCAGCACGCCACCAGCGGGGACATCCAATGTGGTCGACGAAACTACGCCAGCAACGTTGCAGGCCGGAAGTGCCAATGCTTCTGCTACGACTAAACACCCGTCTCCGTTGGACATTGAACATGTTCCAGACATTGGCTGCTTTGCTGTTCTTACAAGGTGCTTTCCATGTCTTTCACAAACTCAACCGATAAGTCCTACTCCTCCGCGCACCAACTAAGTGGCCTTTCCCTTCCGAATTTTTTTACTGAAGATATCACCCACGTACAAAGGTTGAAGATACGTATGTAATTTGATGTTGCTCCCAGAAGACATTGTTCAATATCTGACTAGTATTTCGTCCCCATGGTGTCACATCACGAGCATGGTCGACCTAGTGTACTGCAACGACCGGGACATACAACAAACATGGTGTAGCGAGTCGTTCTTATTGAAATGCATTGGTTGCCAATACAGGAACGCTGGCCCTCAGATTGGGGCAGGTAAGAAACCTGACTTGAAGAACTTGGTCAGGATCATCCCCGTGTTGGATACTTCCGTCCTGCGATCAATGTCAGGCAGGTGCAACTGAGGGATGAGGACATGGAAACCTTTACGGAGGAGCGAGGTGCTTCCGGAGGGTGTTTTCTCCCGACCAAGGTTCTCGTAGAGGTCCTAGATGAGCACTGGGATGCCCGGGGCGAAGAAGAAATCGATGCTATTGTGAAGACGTTCGGGAGCAGTGACACCATTTTGTAGCGCCCCTTCATAGAACGCGTTCGAGGCAATTCAGACGAACAAGGGTGCAAGCAGATGGATGAATCTGTTGCCAAGTACAGAGTAGAAGATGCCATTCGACGAGTCGTTCATGCTCGCCTGATTCAACACCTCTACCGGGCGTTTATCCAATTGAGACGCACAGATCAATACTTTCTTGGAAAGCACAGAGTACATGGAGATCTTATCACCATCGGTGGCTCATGCGCCCCTTCAGACGGAGCCCATCAATATCGAAATAGTCAAAAAAGTACTTCAGCTGGGTTATGTATAGGCAGTAAAGCGAGGAGCTGCTGCTGCATGACATCCAGGACAAAGTCATGTATAATTTGGAACTATGGTCAAGTTTCAGCCATTCTGGTGATCGGAGTATCGGCTGAGTGTGGAGCGATACGACCAGAACAACAACGTTGAGCTGTTGAAAGTCGGGCGCACTCTTAAACTGCATATATAACACGCGAGGATAGACTGTTCTACACTGTACGCTAACTTATGAAAGGAAATTGAACGTTGAACAACCACGGTGTCCTCAGAGCGGTAAGAGGGGTTTTCCTTTTTGGTCATCGGATGGACGTGAGATTTCCATCCGTTGTCATTACATACTTCCGCAAACCATTCAGCAAAGAGTCGGACCTGGTCACATATTCATGATTTCTGTTAGTCGTTTTCAACACTTGCATCGACAGTGCTAAGCGTTACGTCTAGGCATTCTTCATATTCAATCAGAAGGGAGAGGTGCGCTTGGTTGTCTTATCACTCACTGCCTTCTCTTTATAACGACTCGGAATTCGTGGCGCCAAGGTTCTCATATCCAGACTGTATCGGACAGACTTCAAGTAGGATCATTTTCTATTCACGCCGTACTCGTCTTATGCATTATAGGCGGTCCATCGCAGACGTATTCCGGATACAAGTAGTATCTAACAGTGATGTACGATCTCCCATCATAACGTTGGGTTCGACCAGTTTCTTTCATGTGCGGGTGAACAACCTCTACGTTGTCTGCGTGACAAAGTGTGTTCAATACATCTAGCTGCATTTGCCGCGCTAATCATCAGCTCAGGACAAACGCAAATGCCGCCCTCGTCTTTGAATTTTGCTACCGTTTCATTAGTATCGCCAAATCATATTTTGGAAAAGTAGACGAGGAATCAGTCAAGAACAACTTCGTGCTAATATACGAATTAATTGATGGTAAGGTGCTTTCATTTGTCTAGATGGTGCTTCACCAATGATGCTCTACAGAAATCAGTGACTACGGATACCCTCAGAACAGCGAGATCGACACCCTCAAATCTTATATTACCACAGAAAGTGTAATATCTTCGGCTATAGCAGCTGTTTGCATTTTCCTTTGCTGGTTGGTCGACATTCAGCTGATGGGACTTTAGGAGGAGTCCTCGAAAATCACTACACAAGCTACAGGAGCGACAAGTTGGCGACGTGGGGATGTGAAGTACAAGAAGAATGAAGCATTTGTAGACGTGGTGGAGACTGTCAATCTAAGCATGAGTGCAAAAGGTGATGACGACTTCCTCTTGTGCATCGTGCGCGATGCTAACGATTGTTCTCTAGGGACTGTCCTTCGTGCCGATGTAGATGGGCATATTCAAATGCGCGCGTATCTGTCTGGGACGCCAGAATGTAAATTCGGTCTCAACGACAAGCTCGTCATCGATAAGAACAGCCAAGGCGGGGCAAGCGACGCGGTAGAGCTGGACGACTGTCGTTTCCACCAGTGTGTTCGGCTTAATGAATTCGACTCAACCCGCACGATAAGCTTTGTTCCTCCTGATGGCGAATTTGAACTGATGAGGCGAGTCAAATTTATACTTCTCAGTCCCACAACCAACCACTGAAAAAAAACGTTATACAGGTACCGCTCGACGTCAAATGTTAAGTTGCCTTTGCGAGTGATCCCTACGGTAAATGAGATTGGAACCACACAAGTATCGTACAACATTTCCGTGAAAGCCAATTTTGGGAACAAGCTGTCTGCCACCAACGTGGTTTTACGGATACCGACACCATTGAACACGACGGGCGTGGACTGCAAAGTTGCAAATGGCAAGGCTAAGTATGTACCGGCCGAAAACGTGGTCGTATGGAAGTATGTCACCTGGTCAACTTGAGATGACTTCTGCTTATATTGCGCCCAGGATTCCTCGGATTCAGGGTGGACAGGAGTGCACCTTCAGCGCGACCGCTGGTCTTACTAGCACTACCACTCGGCAAGTTTGGGCTCGGCCACCTATTGACGTCGACTTTGAAGTTTTGATGCTCACCGCATCTGGTCTGATCGTTCGGTTTCTCAAAGTCTTTGAGAAAAGCAATTATCACAGCATCAAGTGGGTGCGCTACCTCACCAAAGCGAGCGGGAGTTATCAGATTCGGGTAAGTGGTTAAACTATCCGATTCATGACAGATCGCGTGCTGACAACTGGTGAAGTTTTGATGCGATCATTATCCCTTACATTTGTTGACTTATATACTACAACCTTGGACAATCGTGTTAATCACATACCAACTGATGGACTTTGGGTCCTTTCTGAAATTTTAACTACATGTTGTCGGGACTTGTGTTTGGAGTACCAATCTTAGTAACAACTATACACAGGCCCCGACAGTCTACGCTCACCTCAGCTCTATTCCTCAGTTTCAACAACATCGTTCCGCTTCCATGTTCTGGAGGTAAATTTTTTCCCTTTCCACATATTGTGGGGTTTGAATACATTGTGAACTCTATTCTTGAGTAGATTCGGATTTCACAACACATCCTCCATCGACAGTCTACTGGACAAGGATGATGTTTCATTAGAGGCAATTCTAGACGAAGACGATCTACTACAGGAATGCAAGTCACAGAACACGCGGCTCATCGACTACTTTCAGCGTGTAGACGTCCTGAAAAGACTTCTGGGGTATGTGACTGGTCAGATTCCAGGCGAAGAGGAACGAGGACGGTTCAAGTAAGCCTTATCTCCGGTACTCTGCCTCATGGGCATCTCCACTAATCAATTCTAGGTATCCGTATGTCGCTACAGAAGTTCTCTGCAGTGAAATATGGTCGATAGTGGAAACCTGCGTCAATTCGTCGGACCAGCTGCTGACACCGTTCTGGGAAACGGTTCTCGACAAGTCGCCTGAAGAGATGAAGACGGAGATGGTCATGGCTTCTCACTTTGCCAAGATTAATGCTGTCTTTCTCACCAAGAAGCCGGCGGAGGTGAATACCTATCTTTTCACCGCCGTCCTCTGACGAACCCAGAGCTATGTGCTCAGATGCTCGCCTTCATCCAATCCCAACCATATGTCGTGGAGCGCCTCTTGCGACACGTCGAGACGCCATCCGTAGTTGACCTTATTGTCCGCATTATTCAGCTGGACGAAGTCCCAGGTGGTGCAGGGGTTCTTGAAGTATGCTCTTATATGCAGCATTCTGCGTGGCAGCTTACCCAGTATCGCAATTCAGTGGCTTTCGTCGGAGAACCTCATGGGCAGATTGGTTGAGCTGCTTTCCCCGGCGCACACCAGCGACATGCACACAGTGGTTTCAGAATTGATCAAGGGGATACTTTCCATGGCTACTGCGTCACCTGCACCGGGACTTACGGATGGTCTGCAGAATGGAGTTGCTTCAAACCTTTTTTCCAGGGAGCTGGCACGGCCCGAGAGCGTTTCAACATTAACCGATTACATATTAAGCGATTTCAGTCCATTAGCCGAAGCTGAAGGCCAGAAAGCGATCCATGATGACGATTCTACTGATCATTCCACCCCAGAGCTCCCAAATCTCGACACCTCTCTCTCTTCTGTTGTCCACTCGATATCTGTGGTCATTGAACTTATTCGGAAAAACAATTCAGATTATTTCGAACCATACCTCTTTCATACCCTGCGAAATCGGCTAATTCATATTCAACAACAGCTGGCAGGGGCTGAAAACGGGCGCGCGAAGCTTGAGGAGTCCATGAAGGAGATGTCGGACAGAATGGGTGTGGTTCACCTGGGTCCCTTGCTAGAAATTATGGGCGAACGACTCGCGACCTTCGAGAAATATCTTCGTCGACCACGATCTTTGGTGAGTCTGTCGGTTATCACTCGAACTCTCGACGTGACCTTTCCCCCTAGCAAGGTCCCATACCCACAACTGTAGGTGTGATCACGCCTCTCACCTTCGAACGATTTCGGATATGCGAGTTGTATGCTGAACTCCTGCATTGCTCCAATATGGCCATATTAAACCGTCCCGGGGAGTATAGCGATCTTTATGATAAGCAAGGTCGATTACAAGGCGGGCTATCATCTCTGGAGCATCTTGCGCGTGTAATTGCAATTGGTTCCGGAGATGAAAGAGACCAGGACACAATGGACGATAACCATGACGATGTGGAGCCCGCATTGGAATTGCCTGTCACCAACCGATCACGAGGTTCCTCGCTATTAGATTCGGATGAAGACATGAGCGATGATGAACCTGGCAGCTCGGATGACGATGTCCTGGAGGAGATTATGATGGATGATCCTCCGAAGCTGCAATCAGAAGATCTTCAGCCACAGGAACCTCCAATAATCGTCCCTTCCTCGCTCAATGCAGCGTCATTACCTCCACCTGCCGAGATTGCGGCTCAAGGTACTGCAAAACGGACTTCCAGCATGACTAGTAGTAGTGATAGCACCGCAAAATCTCCCTCCTTACGTTCGCGCAGAAGCTCCAAGCGGATGGTTAGCACTGATACCGTGTCAGGTCTCTCGATAGGGGAGAAAACAAAAATGCGCTTCTTGGAGGCCAACGTTTTGAGCACCTTATTGGTGAGCTACCATTTTTCCGTACTGGTATTGTACTCACACGTCTGACCAGGATCTCTTCTTCGAATTCCCTTGGAATAACTTTTTGCACAACACCGTTTATGATTTCATCCATCAAATTCTCACAGGCAGGACTGATGGAGGACTGAACAAAGAATTGTCGATCTCTCTCTTCCGGGATGCACACATCATGCAACGCATCATCGATGGTCAAAAGCGAAATGATGCAGAAAGGTACCACACTTCGTCTCACCGTTGCATGATCTCAATTATACTCCTCCAGCTCAAAAGCAAAAGGTGTTCGGCTTGGGTACATGGGCCATCTGACCCAGGTGGCAGAGGACGTTATTGGCGCTCTTGAGCATTATCCACCCAACCTCCGGTTAATCGTTGAACAGTATGCACCTCAGCCTGCTTGGCAGGAGTACGTGACGGGTCGCTTCAATGAGACCAAGAAACGGGATACCAGCCTTCTTGGCGGAGGGAGGCCTACCGTTACCTCAAATTCACGTGCTGGTGGTAGATGGACGGTTGACGAAGAAGACAGTGGCTCATCGTTGAGTGCAGCTGCGACTACAGGTCCTGGAACTACTGGTGAATTTAGGAGATCTGTGACCACAAGACCATCAAGAGCAACGAGTGCTGACTTCGGTCCTGCGCCGATGGACGACGAGGATGACGACCATAGCGCTGGACCTCCACAAGTATGTCCTATTTTATTCGGAAACCGAGTATTTGTTCACATTTGTCCAGTTTGCTCGCTACTTGGCTCAAGAGATGCATTCGAGGGAGCAGTTTCACGCATCATCTGATGCTTCGGATGAAGACGAAGATGAAGACGGCGGATGGTTGGCTCAATCAACATTTGATTTAGGAAGACCACCCCTTCGGAGAAATACTGGAAACCAACAAGAAATTTCTTCGAGTGGTTTTGACGTAGGTACATCCCCACTGTATCGTTTCCCTTAAGTAATTCGGTCCCCCAGGATGCATTCAATCCTGGCCCCTGCGGCGCTTTGAGGGAGGCGCTTGCTGATGATCCTTTCGGGGTCAAATATGAGGACGTGAATAATTCTACTTCTCTCTCGTTGAGCACTATTGACAGATTCATTCCAGGACGATGGTTTCGGCCCATTTTCCGATGCAGCAGCAACCTCCCCAGATCACTTCAATTTTTCTTCCTCGATTTCATCGTCTTTCTCATCTGATGACTCCTTTGACTTTGGAGATTTCCAGGGCTCAGACGACAGCACCCATGACGGTGAGCTTACCCCGACTGCTGGGAGCTGGACTTTGGCAAGCGGTTCAGAATCAGAAGGGGACGAGTTCGGCAACCCTGGAAACAGCTCGAATGGAATGCATCCGATATCGTTGGATGATTTGAATGGTCGACTGGAGTCCGATAAAAGTAAGGACTGGAGTTAAAAACGGTGTTGATAGCGTATTGTGTGCATTATCTTAGGTGATGCTCTACTGTTCATGTGTACATATCACAGCACATATTTCTTATATTCATTGTCTCGTTTGGTGTATGTGAAAGGATAGTTATGGCATGAACTGATACCCTCCACTCCTTGACTCTGCTGTGAATTTCAGCTCGTCAAGTACTTTACCAGTCGGGTCAACAAGAGCGCATTCAATGCTGTCACCTGGATTGACAGGACCAACACCAGAAGGAGTTCCGGTGAGGATGAGATCACCCTCCTGCACATTTGAGTGAATAAATTAGGAGTGCGGACACGGTTATCCTGACGAACCTCCAATGTCACAATGGAAGAGATATGTTCGATAAGTCGCGGGATGCGGAAAATCATGTCCCCAGTCGTACCATTCTGCTTGATCGCACCATTAATCTAGCGTGCAAAGAATCACGTCAAGAGAAGCTCCCACTCAATAATTAAGACAAACCTTCAGGGAGAGTGTGAGGTCATGAGCATCCGAAACGGACGACTTCGGGATAAAAGACCTGATGACAGGTTCAAGACATATCGACATAACGTGTTCTCATGACACACCCAATGGGAGTGAATGTATCGAAGCCTTTCACAGCAGACCAAGGCAGACCTTTCTTCTTCACCTCGTCCTGCATGTTTCGTGCAGTCATGTCGACAGCCAAAGCTATGTGTCCTAATAAGCACACAATCCAATTCACAAAGCATTTTGCTCACCGTAGCCTGCAATGTGCGACTCGGCTGCATCCTGGGAAATGTCCCGACCGCCTTTCCCGATTACGAGGCCAAGTTCAACTGCGCTGGAATTCATAGGACTGTTACAAGAGCATGATATCGAAGCGGACCTTCATGGTGTGCTATGATGCCGCGTGGAATTTCAACCTTTCCCCCAGTAGGGAGGTAGCTCGTCGTAGGCTTGAAAAAGAAGAAAGGCTCTTTCGTCTTGGCGTTGTTGAGCTCCTTGATGTGGTCAGAGTAGTTTCTGCCAATGGCAACGATCTTGTTTCAAAATAAGAGTATGTTGGTCGCGTAACGACGTTTGAATTTCACCTTTTTCCCCTGCCTCACGAACTGAGCTGCTGCAGACATGGTAAGCACAAGATAAGCGAGCGGAACACCGCGTGGAGGTTATGGTGGTCACGTGAGATAATTATCAACTATACTTGTACAGCTGTGCACTGTTGGCGTTGTACTATGACCTGGCAGCTTTAAAAGGTTCCGTTATCCATTGGAGTTCTGTTGCAAATAAAGCCCATCATATCAAATGACATCCGATATTCGTGCAACTGTGATCAGTGAACATTCCGCGCTACAACGCAAGAAACACTGTGCTGCCCACATATTAATTCATTCATACTATGTAGATTGAATAGATGGATTTGTCATGCATCGATCGGACTTGGTCGGATTTGCCTGATTTAGGTCTCGGCCGACTTAACCGAGTCGAGTCACTCTTAGCACTCCAAGACTTCAAAAATTGTTTGTTTCAGAGCAATTTCAAAGTAACGCTTTCTCTTTTCTGTCTTGCTCCCGTCGTTGTACTCAACGACAATCATGTCGCTCCCTGTTACATTTCGTGTATGCAATGCACCGAAATCTACTGCAAAGGTCTCATTTTCCCGCTCCCGCTCAACTGTCGCATCGTCTTCGATTGTCGACGCAAAAGCTAGGATAAGAGATGCTAGAAACATCAGTAGATCATCAATTCGAAGTGCTACTGCGGTTCCTTCTGCGTGCGTGTCTTTCATGTATCTTTTCTTATCTCAAGTCATCTGATAGTATCTATTCGCAGTCGACCCTCCCAAGTTCCTGGATTTCAGCAGCTGCCGCAGAAAAACAATATTCCATTTGACTTGGAGTCGCATACCAACACACCTCTAGATCATTCCTTTGTTGGTATGTCAGGTGGTCAGATTTTCCACGAGATGATGCTTCGCCACGGGGTAAAGCATGTTTTTGGTTATCCCGGCGGGGCTATTCTTCCTGTGTTCGATGCCATTTACAACTCTAAACATTTCGAATTCGTTCTTCCTCGCCATGAGCAAGGCGCTGGGCATATGGCAGAAGGTTATGCCCGCGTATCAGCAAAGCCTGGTGTCGTCCTGGTGACTTCTGGCCCAGGCGCAACCAATGTCGTTACGGCAATGCAAGACGCGCTTTCTGATGGCGTTCCTCTCGTTGTTTTCTGCGGCCAGGTAGCAACCTCGGCTATCGGGTCTGACGCGTTCCAAGAAGCCGACGTTATTGGTATTTCACGCAGCTGTACCAAGTGGAACGTGATGGTCAAGGACATAGCAGAACTGCCAAGACGCATCAACGAAGCATTCAAAATTGCAACTTCTGGCCGTCCTGGACCTGTGTTGGTCGATTTACCCAAGGATGTCACCGCTGGGATTCTTCGCACACCATTGCCATACAAAGCGACCACTCCAGGCTCCCACACCCTGCCTGCGAATCCTATGCAACCTGTCTCTTCTCTAACCGACATGGTGTTGATCCAGCAAGCTGCCAACCTCATCAACCAATCGCAACGACCTATTATTTACGCTGGCAATGGTGTCCTCTCATCACCTTTGGGACCTAAATTACTTGCGCAATTGGCTAAGGAGGGTAACATTCCTGTAACGACCACTCTGCAAGGCCTTGGTGCCTTTGACGAGACAGATGAGAGAAGTTTGCACATGCTGGGCATGCACGGATCTGCATATGCAAATTTGGCAATGCAACAGGCAGACGTTATTATTGCTTTGGGTGCACGATTTGATGACCGTGTCACGGGCAAAGTTGATACTTTCGCACCTGCTGCCCGGGCTGCTGCCTCGCAGGGCCGCGGAGGTATCATCCACTTTGAGATCCAGCCGAAGAACATCAACAAAGTTGTCAATGCTTCCATCCCCGTCCTCGGCGACGTTGTTTCCAACATGGCTGCGCTCGTCCCCTTGATCCGATCATCACCACGCACACGGTGGTTCGGTGACATCCAGGAGTGGAAGCAGAAGTACCCCTTCACATACGTCCCTTCAAAATCTGGTGCACGAAGCAAGCCACAGGAAGTTATCGAGGAGTTGGACCGGCAGACGGCCCACAAGAAGGACGATGTTATCATAACTACTGGTGTTGGTCAACATCAAATGTGGGCGGCCCAACACTTCCGATGGAAGACGCCTCTGTCGATGGTCACTTCTGGTGGTCTTGGAGTGAGCTATCGCGTTTTTCCACGGGATACCGGACGTTGACAATTTTGCAGACCATGGGTTTTGGCCTTCCCGCTGCCGTTGGTGCTAAAGTGGCCGCGCCTAACAAAACTGTTATTGACATCGATGGCGACGCATCATTTAGCATGACTGCTATGGAACTCGCCACTGCCTCGCAGTACAATATTGGTGTCAAAGTCCTCATCCTTAACAACGAATTCCAGGGTATGGTTTTGCAATGGCAAGGTTGGTCGATCCCACTTTCAATATATGGATAGTTCTCATGGGAAATCTAGATCTATTCTATGATTCCAGGTACTCGCACACTCGGATGACAAACCCCGACTTCGTTATGCTGGCTAAAGCCATGAACGTGCACGCGATTCGATGCGAATCTACGGCAGACCTTCCTGCAAAAATGAAAGAGTTCCTGGAATACGACGGCTCGAAACCCATTTTGCTTGAATGTATGGTCGAAACCGACGAGCACGTGTACCCGATGGTGCGTTTAGAGGGGCCAGTCCATCTTTCAGTCGGGTAAACTAACTGTTGCTACCAGGTCCCCGCGGGGAAGGCGTTGCATGAGCAGGTGCTCCACCCTATCCTGAGGCCAAAAGAAAAATCCGACGCATGATCTAATTTTCATTGTTTTCGATCTATATGCATATTATTCTACTTCTCTCTCTTTGCGCACATCAGATTCACAACATACCGTTTTCACTGTGTACTAACATTCATTGGCTCGACCATCTTTTATTGACACGAACCACATTTATCTACGATGTTTTTGAAATTGCAAAAGGGGTGTTGAATCCCATGGGGATGTTGGGTGTTCTGCATGGTTACTCCAAATAAAACAGAAATAGTGTTACTGGTGCATGTGCGTCCAAGAATAGCGTTTGCGCTATCATTACTTGGCTTCTCCCGACGAGATCGAATATGGAGCTACTATTAGCCAGGTTCAAGTCAGCACTGCGTAACTGTCATATGCAAGATCGGGCATATCTGTTCATAAGCAGTGCGTGCAGGTGTCCGGTGATCCAGTTTTGCATGCGATCAGTATGGGCATGGTCGTAGTGGGGCTCGGGACGTCAAGATACGACTGCTTGGCAGACTTGATCGACTGAGTTAGTAGTGCTGTGCGTGAGATGGCCAGGGCAGACCAAGTGGGGAGGTTCAAGGTTCAAAATAGCAGTTCGTTTCTTCCCCAAGAAAGCCGTGCCCACTGAGGCTAGTCGTGTACTAACGCGATACGGCCAGAATCAGCCAAGAGTGTGCAATATCAAACAGCGAGCCCATGCCGGGCTAGCCAAGGCCGTGTTAGCACGCTGTACTTGGGAAGATGTTACCCCTGTCCCAATTCATCCATCGACGAGTCTGAGCTCAAAACCATCGAAGCATAATCGGTTTATACGCGATGGATGATGAGTCTCGCATGCTTGGGAGAGTTTACCCCCAAGAATCACAACGACGTTTGTGAGATGATCAAGGCACAACATTCAGTCGAGAGAGTGTTTACGCACCCCTAAGTGTGACATGATAGATGGGAACACAGGTCCAGGTGTATAGGCACAGGCCCGGGTCCGAGCTCAGACGATGAACAGGCAGAAACCTCATGCAGCGGATGAGTAAATGATACGGACAGATGCATTGCGCCGTTGGAAATGCTTTCAGGGAGCTGGAGCTGGATCGAATGAAAACGGGCACAGCTCATTAGTTTTGACCAATGATATCTGACTCCGACTGAGATGCTGGCCTGTGGAAAAAGGCCTTGGATCACGCCGTTGTGGGTCCGTTGGGCGTGAGCTATGGAGCTGTGGGAAATGAAGGGCGAATTGTGTTGCCCCTCAAACCAATTGAGCTGACATATGATCCTCCGCTGGAGACTATGAGCGATAAGACCGCAGTGAGCATAAATACTATGGTTTGATTGACATTCGTTGGGCTAGGACGGATTCATCAGTCTCTCTAAACCTTGCAGCACAGCAAGTAATTCCCACTCACTGCTGGATCTCCTGATGGGGATACGATGCTTGAGTATGCCCTTCAGGGAATCATTGCGCATGCAAACCATGATGTGTATCCTGAAGCATTGCTGAGGCACGAACCCTTTTTTGCGAAAAGTAATAATATGCATGTCACGCAAGAGACTCGGACCCCTCGGGCAACGCGTTCCTTATCAACCTCGAAAGCGCCACTTGAAGCGGCAAAACGCTAATTTGTGTGTCAATATAATGCGGCAGTATTCACCAAACTTTGAATGACTGATGCTGAACCTACATAACACGCCGATGAAGTTTGATGTTTTACGTTTGCCGTGACAGATTGCCTCGCCTTGAGTGATGCTCGGGAATCGCTTGTCTGGAAGCGGGGAGCATAGCTAGTAGACGCCCGTTCGACTCCCGCGAGTGGCTTGGCTCCATGATCCTCTTAGCGCCTCGAGTCGAGAATTGCGGTATGATAAAGCGAGCGGGATTAGAAGCAGACCTCTTGACGTAAGTAAACATAGGCGATACGGACCGGTGTTACTCGAAGATTACGGTTGTTCAAGTTGACCCGAAAGGAGCGCTCGTCGACAATTGTACAGTAAGACCGTTGAAACATTCTCAGCATTCTCGAACTCCAAGAGGAATGAGCGGCGTTACGCCACCATTTCGCTATTGGTGGCGATATCATGAATGAGCCCTATCATTTTTAAGAACGAAACCCGACTCGGAAATCGGCAGACAAGCATACCACGGGTTCAAGCTTCGCAAATGCGATAAAGTCAGGCCACATCAGGTGAAATCTACATAGTGAGTCTGATCAGTTCATAGATCGTTGCTGATCAGGACGGTAATACGTACGATGGACTCCTACTGCGTGCACAGACTCGGATGCAGGAAAATGGGAGCGATCAATCATAGACGTTACACACAACCCATCAAACACACTGTCCGATACGGTATGCCAACTGGAGCTGTGTGTATTCCGCCAATAAATCCCGTTCAATTCTTATTATCCCCGTCTGGGATTCAAGGGGTTCCGGATGATTCGGCGCAAGTATTAATATCATACGAAGCGATTAGATCTGCATGCCGGAATGCCAGAGCGCGCAAGGTGAGCATGCGAATGAATGTGAGTACCAACTTGAAACGAGAATACCGGCCTTGAATTGATACGCTGGTGGATCCATGAATTCAAGGGTATCCCTGTGGCAATGGACCTGGTGAATCAATGTTTAGCGTACAGGGGCATTCATATGGCGGCCTCGGATAGGAATACCACGCATAGTCGCCGTACTGATGGAAGGCATCGTCTGGCACCATCGCTTGGGATATGATCACGGAAAGCATCAAATAGTGGGAAAATGACGATAGGGCTCAGATACGACTTCAGGTAGACACATGAATCAGGGCAATACCACGATCTTTGGAAGTACTCGATCCTAAACAAAGAAATTCGCAACGCGGCACTGTGCTGGTATCCCAGCCACTTTCGTCGACCGCGAATAATCCACAGCGGCACCGCCCAGCCTGAAGATTACAAGAGTCAGATGAAAGAGGTGGATCACAAGGCGACGGGCGCAGCAATGACCAATATTTCACGTTTTGTCTTTCATTGTGAATGTTGAAAATGAGTCTAAAATGAGATTATCACAAGGAGATGGCCGGACGATATGAATAAAACGTGCCCATAGATGTCTTCTAACACACGACGAGCGTTCAGTATGGAGTTTCATATGGGTCGACGGTCCTAGTTGGAAATCCAGAACCGCGAGGATCCATCGTGTTGAGGTAAAGATAATGCGCGGAGGTTCGAAGATGAGATTATCAGTGTGAGATCAGTAATCGCCTATTGGTGAGGAATGTGCGTGTTGAGTTGACAAAGGTGTTCTGATTACCAACGTAGGTAATTCGTTGGTCATCGTCAGGTTATCGATCACTATAAGATAATCGGCGTCATTCTACAATAACTGCGCACAATAATAGCTTACCAGTAGCGAAAATTGGATGACCTCGGGGTGAAGCCAATCGATCAGCCCGACGATGACATCGATGACGGTCCAGATGCCGGCAGCTTGAGGTACAGATCGATAACAGTCTGGACTCCATCGACGTATATGTAGATCGTTGTTGATCAAGCAGGACCTCGATGTAATCACACCAGACGAATCCGTGAAAGGCGCTGAATCCGTTATCAATTTCGCTTGTTACCGTGGAAGACGGCGACTAGATGTGGTAATTGATGACCGGGAGACTTTTGGTTTGAATTGTACTTCAGGGGGTTGGAGCTCCATTCGGAGAGAGGGGGACGCCATCTAGAACTCTGGAAAGCGGTAAGCGGATAGGATGGGGAAACCGAAGAAGCGGGTATGGAGCATATTAACAGAGTGGTTCGAGAGTGAGCCGAGGGGAAAGGGGTGTACTGGAACATCCGTTTAAGTCACAGTCGGCCTTTAAGAACCAAGCGAAGGTCACAAGTCGGATGTATCTGTGCGTAGTTAGTGGCAGCTGATCATGATTCCTAGGGAGATAAGATAACAATAAAATCAGTTACCCTACAATAACCAAGCCCACGATGCATAATAACCGGTTCCTGGGGAAAGAGATGAAAACGCCATATACGTGGTATCAAAGGATATCATACAAGATCGTGCCAAGCATACAACGTGTTTATGTGTCTCGTGACCATATCGATGGCAGGACAAAGGCCATCTGGCCTGCTGTATTAGTACTTGGCCTGCTGTGCACCAATCCCGTTCGATTGGCCAAGACCGGCTGTGCATCAACCCCAAGGCCATCCAATGATAAGCGCTCCCTCCATGGCCAAAAGAGGCACATATTTAATGCTGATGTGATCAAAACGAGAGAACTTCGTGACTACAACGAGGGAATGGCCTCAGGTAATGGCGTGGCACTACAAGCTGTACACGTAGGTAATGTCAATTCTAGTACAAAGAAGTAACTAGGGTATCTCTTCCATTCCATGGGTATGGGTAGTTACTGGCTGGTCTGAAGTTATCTGGATTGGGCCCATGTTCCGTGGGGCCCTCTGCCCTCCACGCACACCGTTGGGAGAGAAAAAGGGAACTTGGGATACGACTCGCTGGTAGTGTACATGTGTGTGGATAAATTTGCCACAAGAGCTAATTGAAGGCTTACGATAAACCCCGTGAGGGAGAATGGGGATATTTCTGGTCAAAAGATCGTCTATTCCAAGGCCAATGCGGAGTATGCGGCCATTGACGCCCATTTTAGCCTGTGATATGAATAAATAACCAGAGAAAGGTCCGGTCAACTAAGAACAGAAGGTGTACTAAATAGGCGGATTCGGGATGTGGTTGAATGTAATTTGTCACAGGAAGATGGCAGCTGGTTGACACGAGGGCGGCGGCACGGTGTGGCAGGTCGCTAATAAGGCTCAAATGGTCACAAAGCAATCTATAGAACACATGCATAAGGTGCTATAATGGGGTCTACTGCGACGGCGGTTTGGCCTTGCGAAACTCGGCGGGGATCACTGTTATATGAAACTAGACGCACCTCAAACCACACAAAATTATGGTTTAGATATGAATGCACGGACAGAGACTGGCCTAGACGAGACTCATGGCCTGAGGCCACGGTCCGATTCCCCTTTCGAGGCCTGAAACTGTACTGTCTCGGGTAGGATGGTGAACGAGCTTAATGTGAATATTCCACCGGTGAGATCGAAACGCTAGGCGCTCTGGATAGTCGGTGAATGATTGTGACCGAACTGATTGCACCATGATATCATGCAAGACGATATGATACGTGGTTCACGTGGATATACCTGATATAGGCCGGCGGCAGGAGCCGGAATAAAGGGGAAAAGGTTGTGTCAGCAGTCGAGTAGTTGAGTCAGCTGCGGTGCCTGCGGATGAGTGTGAGTCATTTGGCCCGGCTTGGTCGGTATTGCACAGCAAAGTCGTGCCAACCTCGAGTATAATATTCTGATTGCGATAATCTACATAATAATATAATAATAATTCTTAACAGAAACTCGAGGCAAAGAACGTGGAACGAGAGGGCATTTCCTGATAAAGGCTTACTTTGAGGCGATAAAGAAAAAAAGGACAATTCCTGGCGCAATCGCCGCATATCTCAGATTGACCCAAATCGGATCACTTGACATGGCATCACCCCATAATCGGATATTATTTCCTAATCTGGATTTCAAGGTGCACGATTACGCGGTTTGTCTTGGGTTGCCGGATTTACAGCTCACCTTTGTCACTGCGTATATAAACATCCTCCTGTCCTCCCATCATGTCCGTGTATCCCTCCCCCTTAACCTGTACGATATCAAGCCCTTCATATATCGGCTTGAACTTGGGATCTACTATATAATCCTCCAAATCGCTTTTCGACCCTTGAATTTTTTTTTCTCGGTGACGGCCCGCCGTGCTTCTAATTTTCAAGTAGCCCGCCTTCCCTGCTCACAAATCTGGCTATAGTCCATCCGACCCGAATAACAACATTTCGCGTTATACATATAGCGCACCTGTCCAAGAACCTTTTTATAGTTGTGCGGACATGCCCCGCATAATCACCAGTACTACTCAATTCGATCCAACGTCGACCATGGCATCCTATGACTCTGCATCCACATCACACAGTGTACCATCTCCACCAATTGAAAGACACCGTCTCAGACGTAAACGTTCTCCTTCCCCATCCTCGCAACACTTCAGCGTGAATCCATTTGCTGCACATCGCACATATTCCCCCTCAACCCGCGCTTCTGACATCGCGCGCCTTCTTGACCCCTCATATGCATCGCCGTCTCATCAAACATCATTCAAGGCTCTAGGCTCACGAACTGCTATCAGGGAGGTTTACGTTGATCACCACGGTGACCTTCATGATCCTGATTTCCGTGACTTCCCCACTTTTGGCCATGCGCACTCTAAACCGAGTTTGGGGCGGATATATTCGGACGAGAGTGATGCAGAGGAAGATGAGGAGATTTGCCAGAGACGTGCATCTATCGAGAAGCAACGGAGACGGCCATCCACTACCACTTACTACGCTTCCCCCGCCTACTACCCCTACGACGAGCCTTCGTCGTATGAGTCAAGAAATTTGGTTGAAGTTGAAGATGAAGACGAGCAGCTAGATCATCAAGAACACGCACCTCTCAGGGAGAAATACTTCACTTCGAGATCAAAATCTCCTCAGACTGAGAAGGAGACGTATCCTGAGAACCCTCATATCGAGACACCCCAACCTCTTACATCTGACAGTGACTTCACGTGAGTTATATTCCCAACTGAATCACTTCTCAATAGCTGACAATGTGCTTGTAGACCTACGTGTGGACATGCTATTCGCCGTCAGTGGCATGCCTTTACACTGAGCTTGCGCTTCAGTCTATTCCGGACAAAGCGTAGAATCCAGCGGAGAATGTCGGGCTAAATGCGCCACCGATGTTATCACACCTCTTGCAACTGTATATGCTTTCTTCCTTTTGAGCGCATGTCGCCGAGGGTCGCAACCTTGCATACCCCCAATACCCAGTGGGACACGTCGTGCCTAGCACCTGTCCATGCGCACATATTATTCTTCAACACGACGTCGCATTTCTCAACTTCGCATTTCAGCGACGCTTTCTTGCAAGCGCGACTCCACTCGCGCAATCTTCACATTCACGCTCGCATTTGCATCCCTCGGCATTTTCTTATTTTCGCATCGTTTTCAATTTTGCTTTCGCACGCGCAATGGACATCTATGCAACAGTCATGCATTCACATTTCTATTCATTGTTACGGACCGGATATGTATTAATCTATCTACGTCCCCCGGTGGGATTTTCCTGGGAGTTATGGGGATCCGATAAGTGGAGCAGAGGGATTGAACTGGGACAGAAGGAGAGCGAAGGAGTGGAACGAAGGAGTATCATACGTAGTTTGGAGGAGTTACGATTGAATGACAATGAAATGACCGAATCTTCCCTTTGCGATCAGATTGAGTGCTCCGTCGGCCTAGCCCGGTACTTTCCGTACTTTTGACAGGTCATCACCGTCTCATGCCGCCTCATGCCTTTCTCTTTCAGCTGACCTCTGCTGTCACGCCGCACATAGTTGGCAGAGTACCCTGTGCTCCAATCATAAGTCCCTTATCTCTCTCGATTAGACAAAACTACCATTCTCTCATGCCCGAGTACCAATACTGCTGTGGGCCGTAAAGGGAGGGCGCCCTTCCAACTTGCCAGATTGGTACCCGTTATCCCTTTCCCTCACCAGATTTGTCTATATTGCAGCATCGTACTGTGTGGCCATCCATCCTGCATACCGGAATGTGAGACCCGATCCGATGTGGCGTAGTGCTAGCAGTCTTATCGTTCCGTCAAGACTCGTCGCTTCATCAAGCGAAGTTTTTTTTTTCTGCGCTAAACCACACACGACTGGAATGGAAGCCTTGGTCCCCGACGTGGCGTGGGCATTCGGTCCTTGACCCGTCCTCGACTCCTTATCCAGCTCCAAAAAATGAACGTAAAACAAAGAGTCGGAAGGCGCGTGGTCTCTTGTTCCTATCACGACGCGTTCGTTCCGGCGGGATTGCGTACTAATGTCGTCTCGACTACCCCACACGCGTCATGCCTGTGGGATAAACCCTCAAACGTTGCGCTCTCGATTCCGGCCAATTCTTCCGATTATCCGTGATTTACATTCGCATTTGGACACGTTACCTCTCAGTTATCCAACTATCCACTGCTCATGCATGCATATTGTGTCATCGCTCCGTCGCCTAGGCCTCTAACCGTCTCTTGCACACGTCAGCCCTCGACGTAACATCACCGCAATAGTTTTGGCTGTTCCAATCCATGCTGTCATTCTGCCTGACGCGTGACTATGTACTACCTGGTGGGATATCCAATCTTCAGACGTATTTGGATGAGTAAATACAGGGTCGAGCCCACACGCCCTCTGCAACGCGTTCGGTCTTTTGCTTGATCAGTTATCTGCAGCTCAAACAATGCTGCGCATCCTATTTTATGTGGTAAGTGATAGCTCTTTTCTGTATCCGGCTCATTCGCCAGATGCAGTCTGATCGGCGTCCATCAGTCCTCGCTCGAAAGGCGAGTTTTTAGCAGCGCTTCTGACTTCCCCGCGAGTTTTTTGCATTGCATTTTTACTCTTCATTCTGGTGAGTTTAAAACTGCTCTGTGGCGAGCGCTCCCGAGCCGGAACCTGATAAGATAACACGCCATTCCTCAGATTATTCTCTTCGCTATCTATCCGAGAGAGACTCCTTTGTTGCTTCATCGTTTATCCGTTTTATATGGGATCCGCTCTTCAGCTTAGCCGAGCCGCACCGCGGGAGCAATACCCGTCCTCCATCGCCCAAGTTGGTACTGGAAACGGTAGTTCCATCTAGCGAGGAAGCGAAGAAGTCCTCTTGTTATGAGCACCTCACGGTTTCAACGAGGTGTGGAGCTTTCCCTGCTCAGCATAGGAATGCTGTGTTCCTGTATTGAATTTAGAGACTGGAGGCTTAATGAACCTGCCAGAGCGGAGTACTGAAGCCACTTTACTTCCGTGACGGATTAAGCATCTATCGCAGCATGGGCAATACAATTGATTCGACACAAGGCTTGCACTGCAGGTTTGTGCCACTCCGCCACTATATGGCTTGGCTCTCAATATTATCGAAGAAAGGCATCAAATGGACGGTGTTGTTGACATCCTCAGATTCGCCCTTCACCATATCACATGCTTTGTCTTCTCCCCTCCTTTGTTCTAGATCATCCATGCGACCTCGGTGAGTCTAATGACCTGCGCTTCTGCCCGCAATCTCATCGATTTCCCTTTGCCCAGCGATTATCTCTTGTGTCTTGAAGACGTTTGACATTCTCCTATCTATTTCATTTCGCTAGATCCCGAATCAGTGTGCCTTTGCATATGCCTATACCAGCTTATACCTCTGATTTAAGCGGATCATCCTTTTCCTTTCGGGTCTATCAAATTCGATCGCACAAACGTTGGCATCTCCTCCTGAGATATGACTGGGGGAGAGCTCCATTCAAGACAGACCAACAACGCATGTATCTCATCGAAGACTTCATTCAGTCCCACTCATCTCATTTCGACGAATAGCCAATCTCGTACGATCGCGGGGCGACTCTCAACTTGATGAAGTTCTGTTCATTTATGATGAGTGGCTGAGTGAATCCGCGGACATCGTGATAACTTCATGGCCAAGGCGCTCGACGAAGATAGATTTATGGACCTATCTTGTTAATTTTGTTCATTCGTTCCATTCTATCACAATTCTTCCCGCGTTGCTTTCGCAGTACGTGATGCTCGTCGAGGTTTTGCTGCATTGGGATTACCGCAGAGACGCTCGTCCACGTGTGGATATTATAAGAAGATCAGAACCATCTTCTGATCAGTAATTTATAAAAAAAAATTACATATGTGGTACATAGTTTCGATCCCTTAATGTTCGAGGCTCTGCATACTAACCCATGCTAGGCCAGGCTGGCCTGGCCACACAATGCCAACTTGTGGTACGCAGCATCTACTTATAGGACGTGCTGCTGGTTTCAAGCCAATTACAAGTTCCCATATACGCCCTTCTTTACACCGCCATACCATGGAAGAGCCATGGATCAAGCCTTCAACTTGTAACACTCACGCCTGCATGCAACCCTAGAATGCCATATCGGCAAACAATTGGCCTGGCTGAAAATATGCCTTGCGCATCAAAAGGGTCCTGCCAAACTTCCAAACAACACCCCAATCATGTAACGCTTGCCAGCGTTCTTTCCCGTGAAGGCACACACTAGTTTCGTAATCCTGGCCAATGCGTGGGGTAGTATGAACCCGAAGAAGACACGCGCTGTAATCACGCTGCGTTGTTTTTTTGACTTGTGGTACGACATGTCTTTGTTTGATCCGTTTGTGGTAACCCCGTAGGTTACGGATTTGGTTGGATGCGCACATGATGGCTTCCTTGTGGTCGGTGCTAGCACCGCGGTGATCAGCATCAAGGGATTACGAACCGCGGAAGGAAAGAAGTCATTTCCTTTTCACCTAAAGCAATGTATGCGTAGCTGCCTCCTAGCCGAAGGACAATGGACAAAGGTCAGTGGCAAGTGGCAAGTGGTAAGTTCGCAGATGGCAAGTGGCACAACGGCGTGTATTCAATGTATCGTTGATGCAATCAGACCTTGTTCGTCAAGTCAGACTCGATGCATGTAAGTGAATGATGTCTTCAAACTCACCGTCTAGATAACCCCTAAAGCTGGCATGCTCGATACGAGCTGTGTATGTTGCACCTTTTTACACTGGACGAAACCCTTTTGACAGCAGCGATCAGGAAACGGGATTCTGATGTGCTGCGTGGCGCAGGGTTCAGACTTACCAGCCCTGATCAGTGTCACAGAAGCACGGCACGACCAACAGACGGGTTATCTGTCAACGAGTGTTTTGCGGCGTTTGCCAACACTTCGTGTTCACTGAGGAGCTGCGAGACGGAAGATGAGATAAGTCAACTGCATCATGCGTAAGGAGATCAACAAAACATAGACATGGTGATAATAGCAATGAAGAGTTGTGTTGGATAGACTGTATACCGAGGATGCTCTCGAATGTCATTCATCCAGGGTTCCAATTGAACCTGATTGAAGACTTGTAGTCTGCAGACACTTGTGGGTAAATTATGTCGTGACGGTGATAAAGTGAAAAACACCCACTCATGTTCGCGAAGTCACTGTGAAAATAGAAATGCAGACTGCTTCAGGTTATCCATCACGCTGTCCAGGATGCTGTTGTGAATCCCAGTTATGTGAAGAAAGGTTAAACTCATCGGGCACCCAGCCATCATCATTACTTGAAACCCGCGCGAGAGGAAAATCAACGATGGTGTATGACCTGCATGAACGCAGGTCAATAGAGAGTGTGAATGTTATGGCAGTACTGACAGAGAATGCGAGAGTGGATGATGCCGATATGGGTCGAGACTGATCAATTGTAAATGAGTTCGAAACGGTGTACGATGATTTGACACTTACGTTCTCCATGGGAACTACGTCTGAATGCAGTGGTGATTCGAAAGAGGAGCGGCTGGGCAGTAGGGATGTAGCTGTGGACTACAGCGCGATTGTTTAGTCAACTTGGAAAGGAAATAAGGAACAACAAATATACATGGTTAATTAGAAGGTCGTCGTCACAAACAGAAACCGCATCTGTGGGTAAAGGGCAAGAAGGCGGGTAGCAAAGAAAAGCGGGTTATTGTGGGTCCATTATAGGAGAAGGTCAGCATGTCCAGGGGCAAAAATATCATGGGCAATATCGCTGGATTACGGCGCAAGGAAGCAGCGCGGGGTTTCGGGGCGGGCTGAATGCCGAGTAAGGCGTGTATTTCAGACGCACCGTCTTGAAAGAGGATGTTGGCGTACAACAGATACATCTATGGATGTGCACACAGGGCTGTGGCTCTTGTGCAGGTTAGATGCTAAAAAAATTGTGAAATGCTGCATATGTAGGTGTTCAGCTCATATCCGGTTGAGAAGCCACTGTTGGCATGAGTCAGATGAGAGTAGGGCAGGATGGGGATCTAAACATCAAACCCTTCGCAACAAAGCTCTCAGACAGTGAGGCTCCAGCATCAGCGCGTCGAACTCACAAATCATTTTGGCACTATCGTGCCTGAAGCTGGTCAGAATGGTCAGATCTTCGGTTGTCCAGAACACAGTTGCATACGTCTGTAACCCACCGCGAAGTCTCCCACACCCCATAATAACTTCAGATACTTCCGAGGCACTCCCCACACGGTAGCATCCGATTTCACAGTGAGTTTGTTCGAGTGATGAGAAAATACCGTCCCAAATAACCACTGTCGAATGAACCACGATCTATCCTGTGTCAAGATTCCATATATTCGTATCATCTGGCGACTTGCTCGTGGCAAGACGCATGCTGTCCGGATCTGCGGATATGTCAATCATGAAGAGACTGCCCATAAAATAGTTCGTGATCCCAGTCATCCTTGCGAGTTTTGAGCTCTGCGGGACGACTCTCCATTAGCAGAGGCAACTCAGTACCCATTGGCCATCCCTCAAAACTACATATACTCCCTGCTCATGCCCCTTCATTCTACTGCAAGGTCCTATCGCCAAGCGGTCTTACCCCGGAGGCCGATCATTAACTGCAATCCCCGAAAGTACTAGGTCCTGAATGCTTGGGCCTAATGAATTCATCATGACCCCGGAAGGTCTCCACTGGTGTCATTATCAATTTGGCAGTTAGGAAAGGTGGCAAATACGGGGATGTTTATATTGAACGCGTTCAAAGGAGGCGGTGAGCTCTCTTGGATTGCAATAGGCCAGATATTGACAAGACCGATGATTTCAAATAGGTATTGGGGCTGCAGCGCGTTGTCTAGTGGAGCCAATTGTTAGCCCATCGGCACTCGAAGTTCTGATCGACCAAGCCTTAGTAGGCGGCCGGATAGCAAGGAAGCGAAGATTTCAATTTTGTGACTGCAAAATTTGTTTTCTCGGCGGGCGTCTGAGGTTCGACTTTTGGCCGACTTGGTGAGGTGGCTGCGGCTGATAATGGTGGCAGCAGCATCTACCATCGACACTGCATGGACCCGGCCCCCCCCTTAGACTCTGAGATCCGAATGCGCAACCACGAGCCAGCCCCAGTGGAACCCCTTCGTCTGCCCAGCGACCATGACATTCTTCGGTGCACAAGTTTGTCGTGTCTTCAGCCGTACAGTGTTGCAAGAATAGCAGGTGCTATAGTGCTTAGCCTCCATGATCGACCTAGTATGCTCTGCACAAGTTTGCACGCCCGAGCAAAGGAGTGATCCGGGCGGAGTGACGGTCATCCGGGCCGCTTCACTATAATTAGATCAATACCCCACAACTCAATACAACCACTAGATGTATTGTCAGCATCAGGCTATTAGCTAGCCTTAAGCTTCAATGACAGTAAATATATATGGTTTTTTCCATACAACTAAGGTGAGGTATGTAGTCCTCCGTAGTCCTTGATAGAAGGAAGACAGTTCCTCCTCAGAGGCGAGCTAAGTGTGCTCGAAGATGAGACATTCCCTTGATGGTTCTTAGATGAAGCGTCACAAAATGTATGCATTCGGTATCTCTCGGAACAATACTATAGGGTCTCAGCTCTTTAGCTATTGGCGTACTAGAGTACGAGCCGACTCGTGGTTCATGCTTCTCAACAAACAGTGCCCGAGAGAACACTGTGCGTGTATAGTCAAACAAAAAGGCTATGAGCTCGGTTGCTTCCTGATGCGCATGTACTGTAGGCGTCAACTCGACAATAATGGGTACGAGGCTTGGAGGTGGCCCTTGTTCTGTAAATATGTTGTGAGCTACAATAGAAGGGGCCCGTCGAAAGACATCTCTTACCCGAGGTATGAACCTTGGCCTTGTCCTGGAAAAAGGTACTTGATCGACGTTGGATACAGTATTCATGACGAGTGTAGGCAAACGCAAATTTATGATTCAGCTTGGGGGTTATGGGTCAGTACTTGGGTATCTACAAGAGACCATAGAAAAGCTCACATGGCACTGGATGCAACAGTGTTGAGTCTGACTCAGAAAGTATGAAATGGTTCGAAAGTATGAAGGTATAGATTTTCTTTGCTGTCTTTTTATGCATTTGATGCAAGTGACCGTGCCGATAAGGCTCAGGCTTATCACACAGCCTGGTTTCTACTTGGAATTTGGGAAGGGGTTCAATGTAACAAGGCTGGCGCTCGGCGAACAGTACTTGTACCGGTGAGTTTTTGCTGGCGATTATGCTGATTGCGGTGCATTTACCTGGTCATATGTTCTGTGACAAAATCCTTTAATATCTTCTTCTCACCGGTTCTCTGATGTGGCGGCAGTGACAGGACGGCGCTAGAAATCTCTTACCTACCCCGCTCACAGCTTCGCCAAGGAAGTGTATCTGATGGAAAGTTTCGTTACAATTTCAATTTATAGCCTCATAAAGCTATCCACAAGATGCGCTGCCACAGATTTATCTACCTGCAGGCTAGTGTGTGAACTAGTGGGGTACACCTTCCTAGGATGATCTGACTGGCTACGCGGCCAAATGCATTACTCGCTCTTTGCAAGACGAAGTAGTATCTTTACAACAGACGCATGCGTGTTGTTGGGGGTCCAGCTTTCCTGTTCAAATACTTGTGTCATTTGCACATTGGAGTGGTTATACTACTACCTCACCTTTGGTGGCCTTTGCTGTACTATGGTGATGCGGTTGCCTAAGGTTCAAATGGTACCTAGGTCTTCAAGTTGTGTTGTCGAGGCTCGACATATTATGATGCTGTCCAGTCTTGTGCATTCCTGTGAGAGGCATGGATGATTTGATACAAATACACAGACACGGTGACGCAGCGGCTCGATCGGGTCCAAGAGCGTTAACGTTTGGCTACGATTGAGAAGCAGTCTGCAGATCTATCACAGAAGACGACGAGGAGAATGGCACCGAATAGTATACTGGCGGCTACTGGCGGTAATATCCAAATATAGCAAAACTTTCCTACGGATACGCAAGTCATCTTGGACCAGGTTTTTAACACAGGGCAAGAGCTGCCACATAGCTCCCGGGGAGACTCGCTCACCAATTCTGCATACTACGACTAACAAGCAGACGTGGTCTGGTGATGGCAAAGTCTTTTGCTCAGTACGCCTCTCAATTTTTGACCCAGCAGCATAATCCAGCATCGAGTCTGTCCTCTTCGCAGCCTTTATTCTTTTCATTCACAACCGACGAAGGGTCTCGTGCAGGTGATGATCATGATACAGAGGTTGACGACGTTGACGACCCTCATCTGCGTGTAAGCAGACTGTCAAGTCGCGGAAATTTTAGGAGTCGAGCACATGATATAGATGATGAAGACCCATATCTACGCCTCGACGAAGGGGACGATAACATGCCAGGGGCCTCTCATCATACTTCTCAGTCAATTCCTTTGATGGCTTCTGACTATGGCCAAGCTGTGTCCCAAGACTATCCAAAGGGCTGGCTTGCCCACCAGGCATCTCCTCCTCGAAGAATTCGCTCGCCTTTACCGTCCCTTTCATCCTCATCTCTTGGTTCACCTGAACCTACAATCGACTCACCGAGACCCATGCCGAATCGCTCTGCTAGACCACAGCATCCTCCGCCTCCACCTTCACGAGCTCGCGAGCCTGTTTCCTTATCTCTGACTGAGTCGCTACTGCCGAGGGATGGCACCACACGCCCCATCGACGTATTCTCTTTACCAGATCCGCGGCATATCACTCGGGCTCGACGGAAGTTCAATGATTCGCACTGGACCATATTTTGGTGTACAGGTGTTTCTGTATGCGTCTTCTTTTCCATTCTACTGCTATTCTTTGGCAAGACTCGCAAGGACGACGGACGGGGGGTTTCGCTCCCATACACAACGCTGCTGCATACAGTACCCCTGCTTACCATATTGACATTTCTGAGCGCTCTTATGGCATATGTCCACGTTTTCCTCCTCCGTATATTTGTTCGTCCAGTCATGATCGCAACATCCGTATTCATACCAGCTACACTTTTTATCTCTGCTATATGGGCATTCGTTGGTAGTTTCATGTGGGATGGAGACCAAGAACCGACTTGGGGTGAGACAGTTGGGTGAGCACTCTTTTCGTCTGTTTTAACCGCAGAAGCTTATTAGGGTATCCAGTCTCCGACTATTCTCACTTGTACCCCTCGTTCTCTCCGTCATCACTGCCAGAGGCCTAGTGAATTTACCCCGAGAAATCCATTCAACTTCCTCTATCCTCGATCTTACCACACGGCTTCTCATTGCAAACCCTTTTCTTCTCGCTCTCTCCCCCGCGATGCTTCTCACGATGCTGGTTGCATCTATACCATTCATTACCGTGATATTCCGACTCCTTTTGATTGGTTATGTCTATGAACCCAATGGGACGCTAGAAGGGCATGTTCAAGGGTGGGCGAACTGGGCAATATTTGGTGTGGTTGGTGTGTGGTTTTGGAGCTGGGGCATCGCGAAGGGGATGCTGCGTACGACTTGTGCAGGTGTTATTGGTGCTTGGTACTTTGCCGAGTAAGCATTGTTTTTTTCAGTTTTTATTTCGTTTGCTCATGACCTCAGCCCTGATGTTCCAATTCCACTGCCAAGCGATACTCACATCATTCATGCTGCTCTCATGCGGGCTGCATATCCATCTCTCGGATCGATTGTCCTCAGCGCGCTCATCCTCACAGGTATCCGATTGTTAGGACTTCTCATCCTGGCCCTGCGCTGGCTTCCGCTCTATCTACCGCTTGCACTGCGTCCGTGGTGTCAGCCTATAATATTTGGCTCAGGTATGGCAGTCTCATACCTAGAGAGCGTTACCACATCCTTGAGCAAGTATGCGCTCGTATATACTGGGTTGACCGGAGACCCCTTCTTTGTGAGCGCAAGGAGGGCCCGGGCTCTCACTGCTACCGTTGAGACTACTAGCGCTGGTCGGTACCGCAAGAAATTCAAGACCGAACGTGCGTAATATCTTTGTGGTCCGCACAATCATAGCTAACATGCCATTCAGCACCATTACGGATGCTTACCTATGCACCCTTAACGCTGACATTTCCCTTCGCACTTGTGACGTATCTTTTTGGTGCACACACGTTAGGCGCACCTGATTATGCGTTGGGAGCCTCGTTACTTGCTGGTGGTGTCACCGCACTCGTGGGCTTGTTTTGCATAGGACTAGTCAAGGATGTGTATGTTATGATCAACTAGCGCAACATTCTCGTGCTAACCATTGCCACACTAGTGCTGATACACTGTATCTATGTTACTGCATCGACAAGGATGTGGGTGAGAGACACAGGGAGGAAGTATTTGCTGCTGTGAGTGTATTTTGGATCGCCTTTGGAACATCACTTACAATCACACTCAGCTCGAATACGAGATACAGCCTCGGACCGCAGCTCGATCACAACCTCAGACTGCAACTCCACCACAACTGCAAGCTCAGCCGCGTTCGTCGTTATCAGGTCGGCCTGAACAGGCATCTCCGACTGGGGCACAGCGTCCAACAGTCATCTCTCCTCCGCTATCTGACTCACCACGCGTACCTCAACAATTTACTCCTCCCTCTCCGAAACCTGTTGCACGCCCTATTCAACCTGCTCAACCTGTCCGGCCGATACAACCAACCATCCCAGATGCAGATATTGACCCTTTCGAACACGAACCTATAGGGTTTGATGCACCTGCAGCGCAAATTCATGGGTACGATCTCTCCCCCGAGCCTCGCCATGCGTCAGTGGACGACGAGAGCCTTGACGAAGATGACGAGCACGGCGAAGAGTCGCAGCTTTTCCCAGGGTCAGGGCTTTTCTAACACGAGTACTTAGAACTGGGCAATTGAACTTGTTTATAATCACACTAATCTGCGATGATGGTGACATCTTAGGATAGATTAATCCCATTATGCTGTATATCTGCATGTCTTGTTTTTGTATTTAATATATTTCCATCTACATATTCATGTTCTTGACCTGATATCAACGTAGATTGAGAAGATTTACTGTTCAGTATGGTTCGAAGTAGCTACATGGCCCAGCTAGTAGTAGTAGTACTGTCCTTGTTTCAAGTTCCTCTGACCAGAGAGTCCCCTCGAATGTCCGCATGTTCACAGGTGAGATGCAGAACGCGTACTGCTACTGTTCCAAGTTCTCCCAGATTGGCGTTCCGAAACTTCCGATGTCTCCGACACACGTAGCTTATGACTCGGAGCACTGATTATTTCAAAGCAACATCAACAACTTCAAGCTTCGACGATTCTGAGCGGTTCTATCAGGTAGCGCCCGATTCACGGTTTACTGCATCGACCAAGAAATGTCAGCAAATCAGTTCAAAGGTCCCTATGACCCTTCTATCATGGCTGAGTCCTATGCACAGTGGGAACAGTCGCTTGAAATCGAAATCCAACGGACTTTTGATACTGTCAACCGCGATGTCTTGGATGGTTATATGGCTAGAGATCTTGCCAGGCTCAAAGACCCCCAGGTGGATCCGGATTTCCTTTGTACATGGACTGTGCGTAGCGTCTGTGTCATAATCGTTTGAACTTAACTCCAACTGCTGGTTATTTCAGGGCATCCTCTGGGATAGGACCACATTGTCAAGGACTGCAATTGAAGTTCAACGAGCACCTACCGGTTTCAATTTCCTGATCAATACCTGCTTAAAGTACAACCTGATCGAAGTCATGATTTTGATTACGTCGAGATATGGCACATTTAGGCTCGGCATGAAGAACGGACATGCTCTGGCCAGTTATTGTGGACTCGCAGTGCTGGACGACCTCTTGCACGTAGGGACAGATGTAGAAAGAAAATCAATTGCCGAGGAAATGATGAATCACAACATTGTAGACCTCTGCTTCAAGGTGAGGGCACATGCGATGTCGTTTGGGCGAAATCTGAAGGATGGATCATAGAACATAGATAGCTGGCTCTGCGCGCACCGCAGACTTGCTGCTTGTATCATTCGCTCTTTGGCTGGTCTAGTTGGGGACAGGATTCCTGTGGATATGGTGGCGGATATCATTGCGAAGCTCTGTGTTTTTGTGCTCCAAGGACCCCGAATTTTTGTCGAACAGTTTTATGCTCCGGAGACAAAGTGGCAGGGTGGAATAATTGTTTTAAGAGGGCAAAATGTGGGTCTTTTTGCTGCGGACATGTCCATGGAATTAACTCCATTTCCTCCTCACCTGTCTCAAAGGCTTCCGAAGCAGAGGTGGCTAAATGTGCTCTGCGATACTCAGGACTGGCTCATGACGATGCTCTCTGGGCTGCTCAAGGTCTTCTTTGTACCTACCCCATACTGCCCACCAAGTTTCGCCTTGAAATTCTCAAGAAAAGACCGCAAATTATCGATTTGTTGTTTGATTGCGCGATCACGCCTCGACCAGCATGGTACCCTGAGCGGCAAAGTGACGCGGTTGCATGTGAAATCCTTGCACTTCTATTCCAATGGCCCCCTTACGTAGTACCCGGTGTGTCTTCGCCGTTGGACGGCTCATCGAGAACCCAGGAGTGGAAAGCTTTGTCTCAAGCCCTAAAGATTTTCACTGAAAGACAAGATTGGAGTGGGAAGCTAATTGAAGTCTGGATGAGCGTCGAAGAAGAGGATTGGCGCCATGTCGAGTCGTCAGTTCCTACTCTTGATTGCACTTTTGTTTCTAACCCTTTTGTTCACAGGTTGTTCAACAACGTCAAAAATTATGGAGCAAAAACTCTCCTTGGGAAAAGGACGTTTCAACTTGCATTCGAATTACGAGGTATGGTAGCTGGGGCCAGAATATGCTTCACTGCTGAGTTTTGTTTTGTTCAGGCATCAAACGGATCACAGTCCTGCGGTTGATTACTACATTGACTCATGCGGCAGACTCATGCGGAATTACCAACGCAGAGTTGGAGTCTCTCCTTCGTGTGGCCTACGTTGCATCGCAGAAAATAAAAGAAGCAGATCCGGAAAACGAAGAAGACCATCTCATGTATGCGGAGCGAACACAGGATATGTTCGCACTGCAAGTTGGCGACTCACATGCAGCTCCCCAGGTAGATTCCCCCTTGCAGATCGCAGAGGAAGTTGTCATGGGTCCTACAGCCCTCGCGCGATTGTTGGCCGTGCTCGCTCAACGGGGTGTTCTCGACTCAATCCAAGCTCTCAAGAAGGCACCGAATGGTCTCTCAACTGCAACCTCCTTAGATCAAGTACAAATGATTACACATCCCGACATCATACGGAAATTCCTGCTAATCGCTTTCCGGCGTGTGGAGTCTCGTACAGAGTCTGGACGGAAGGCTACTCAATCAAACCCATGTTACGCTCGGATGCACTTCGTGTCCTCTGCAGAGCTTGCGGCCTCCTTAGTCTCGTTTGACAGGTATACGCGCGGAGAGTATGCTGAAGAGGTCAAGGGTGTTCGAAAGCAGCTCGTCGTGGCCCTTGGGAATGCATCAGAGATGGCTATCCGCACTGGACAAAGTCAGATCGCCTTGAGCCTTGCACTCGGTGCGATAACAAGCGCAGAAAATATCCCCGAGTCAGAAGGTCTCGATGAAGCAGTAACCGCCAAGAACATACGACGAGCTGATCAAGCGAGAGCGGCACTTCGCCAAGGGTAGTTCTCCTCGCAGCTCTTCAATATTTTCCGCTTGATTACATGTGCTCTTCGTTATCAAAGTGTTCAGACTTAATTACTAGGGATCGGCGGTGCCAATTTCCACCTTGCTTGTTCGACTAGGGTTCGGCGTTGCCGACTTTCGCCTTGCTCCGTTGCATGTGGTGTTATTTCCTTCTCAATGCTTTCGATTCGGCAGATAAACCATAGGCGAAGGTGCGTTCTAACACATGTGCTAGTTCTTCCAAGGTGTGAATGAAGATGACGTTAAAAAGAAAAGTAGTTTTATCTTGGACTCAATATTGTTGTATCCAGCCTGAGTATCACCAAAATGACTGACAGTTTCATATAGCATGTATCTTGACATCAACTGTAGTTCTGAAAACGTAGTATGTTCACAATAAAATGGAGGTGAAGAAAACAGTTTGGCCGAGTAGCAATATGATCCATGACCGGGACCAGTGTCATTGACCACCTCTTGAGTACTGTGCAACAGTCATCACCGGTGATGTGCGCGACTTCCCGTACACGCGGGCATCTGCATCATCCTCTGCCGTCGTACAGCTATATGCCCGGTCATCGCAGCTCGACACCGCGCAGTTGTGTCATCGTCATTTTCAGGATACGCCGCCTTGGCCGCCCTCGGTGTCATTTCGGTTGTGATGCCTTTGAGAGCGCGCATCAGATATTTACTCCCTCAGGCTTGTGTTACCCCCACTCGCAGGTATCGTGGCGAACGTTGAGACACAAATGGATGTTTTACCCGCACAGTCTAACGTCAAGGGCAGCATTCAATCATTCGGCAATGTGGGTGTCTTATTCCCGCAGCCTGATAGTGCGACGATGGACCATAGGCTGTTGTCGCGATTGGCGCAGGTATCATTCGGCTTGTAGTTCATATTTTGGGAGATACAAGCGACGTATCCGTTCCCTCAATGCTAATATTTCCTCCTCAGTCACATATTCGTCACTTGATAGTTATTCGTACCTATTACCGGATGGTTTGCGAGGTTTTCTTTGATTCTTGATTCTTAGTTCATAGTTGGGCCATCCTGAGATTATGTGAGCGTAGATGGCCAAATACAATCCCGATTCCCGAGGTAACATCGTGCTGTGACAAAAATGTCACAAACTGCAATGTCCTTTCTTGCACTTTCTCGGTCGTCCATTCGGCAAGCATTCTCTCCGTGTCTTGCACGCGGCTATGCCGCAAAGAGCTCGAATACTGAACGGGTACCGAACGTAAGTGTAAAAGACACGTCGGCTGCTGAAGGTGAACATGCAGAGTTAAACACTACAGTACTTCATGTTAACACTTATTCCAGAAAAGACACTTTCGTCATGTCCACCAGGTACAATCCTGGAAGGATTGAATTATCTAAAAGGACAGCCTCCAGTAATAGCTCTACCTGATGACGAGTATCCTCCGTGGCTATGGGACCTTATGAAGCCGAAAGTATATGAAGATGACGGGCCTGGAGGCAAGGCAGAGAAGAAACGGCTCAGAAGGGAGAATCAACAACGTATCAAGGACCAGAACTTCATGAAGACACAGTAATATAATGGTGAGCAATATGGCTATTCATACTCGACGCTCTCAGACACATTCCCAAAGATGACTAGTACCAGTCGATGACTCCGAGAACTGGTTGCGCTAGATGGGGCCGTGTCAGCTAAGACGTGAGTTACCGTATTGGTACTGTGTCGAAATGTGCTGCTTTCTGTTGAAAATGATAATATTCACATCTTTGAATACGTACCTGCACGAACTGCGTATGCAGTGCTCCGTATTGCACAAGGTCCACACAATGTTACGAAAAGTTCGTATTGCGAAACTTCCCACTTCACCCAACATGCAATATTTGCATTGTTTGGTGCACCAACTGTCGGCCCTGAACCGGACCTTACGAGGGTCGCTCACAACGAAGAGCTTGTTTTCAAGACCATCGCGACGTTAGTACCTACGGAGGTTACCTTCAACAGACTGGTTTGGATAAGCGAGTTCCACTGTACTCCCGTCCCTCTTTTGTATTCATCAGTTTGATTTAGGCCAATATCCGGATGGTGAATTTGTGTGTGCAGGGCTAATAGAGATTGTCGCAGATGCTGCTCAATATGTTCATTTATGGATGTCTTCTTAGCAGGCAGCTACGAAAACATATTCAAGTGTCCCCAATTCAACGGGTGGTCAGGTATGGTTAGTCTGATCGGTGCTAATACTTGCTCGCCTCTACGAACAGGGACGTACAAGATTCGGTGAGTTAGGCAAATGCACACAACTGACCGCACCTCACACCAGTTCGATTTAGGATGGAAGCTCGTACTCGTCAAGAAAGGACTTGCCCACAAATATTCTTTTGAAATATATAATGCCGAACGTCTGCCTGTCATCTCTGAGATACTAGAGATACCTACCTTGATCCTGAACACCATTCCTTTCATGTTCGATATCAACTGCCGATTCAGCAACATCATTCTGGACGAGTTCCGCGGCATCACACAATGCTTGTACTTGTATTTCCACCCAGTCCGTTGATACTAACCCAATCTGGGGTGCACTGGAGACATGCGACACAAGTGTCATGCGATCAGCAGTCGTTCTATCATCATCGACATCAGTGACGCCTGTCGCATCTCCTGCAGGCCTTGTGCTTCTTGATCAGGAGGACTATACTTTTTCGGCTTACCTCATGGAAGCCGGCTAGACGAAGGTGTTTTTGATACGGCCGGACAGGGTGATTGGGCGATCGGTCACGGTAAATAAGTCTCAAAATATTTGTGGGCGTGTAGTGACCCGAATATTAATATACATTCTTCCCTTACGACTTTCACAAGCACGATTGCATGTACACCTCATTGAACGTAGTGTATCCATTTGCAGCTGAACATGAATGCAATACGACGTAGTAGACTGAAAACCAATGTATAAGAAAAATTGGCGTGGCAAGTGAAGGCAGTGAATTATTTTGGTTTCGCGCTGCGTTGTGAGGACAACCATAGACCAATTATTTGTTTTTATGATATATTGCTGGACTAATACAAGGTATCCTAAAGTGCCTACTGCTTCCTGTACTATTGCTACAGACGTTGTGTTCTTCCTATTAAGTACTGCCAGCCCGGCTTAATCCTCGAAACGACCCCTATCGGTCCACTGGTAACGAATCTCTTGACCAGGAAAAGTATTCCTACAAAACTTTATCAAATAATCAACGCCTCCCGAAAGTGGTAGAAATCTCTCCATAGCGGACTTAGCAGCAGCAGCCCCTGACCTCGGTGCCGCCTTCGCAACCGTGCGCGATCGCAAAAACAGATGACAATCCTCAAACATACGGTCAAAAATCTGTACCAGCCGCTCCATTGGTACTACATCGATGTTGACGCGCGCGCATGTCTGGATCTCGACAGACAGCTTAATGAGCACGTCCACAGGTGGCAGTGCACCAAACCGCAAGTATGCGATATTGCTAAAACTCGAAAACTCCTCATGGATCGAAGGGAAGGTACCCAGGGTACTCCATTCCCCATTCATAGCTTTTAACGTAGCTCGTACGACCCTCAGACGTTTCTCGAAAAACTTCCTTCTTCTCGTGATGAGGAAAGGAAGTACGTCTTTGTAATTCTTCGTCTGTGGGTTCGTGATAATCGTGAAGAATTCGTGTGCGTCCATGAAGTCTTGCATAGCTTCGCATGGATTGTCTTCGTACGATAGTCGATTTCGGAGGGGTTTGTGTAAGATGAAAGACAGCTCCGGTGAGCTGTTTATCGTGACCGAGACCACCTCTTCACGACTGTCGGATTTGGATAGGTAGGATGTGATCGTGTTTGTAATGACATGTTGTTTGGGAATTTTTGGGGGCGGTTTGCGTCTAGGACGGATTGTGAGGTCGTCGTCCTCGTCTACGGATCGTGCTGAATGAGGCATGCTACCTGCTAAGTACATTCCGATGGGTCCATTTGTTCCGAAGTATGTCAATGACGTAGACCACTTACGTTCAGTTTCCTCCTTATGGTTGAATCGGGAGAGTGACGAGGAGTTCGAGGTGGTGCCGACGAGCATTAGCGTGCTAGGCATTTCACGAGATGGGCGAGCAAGGATAACAGAGGCTGTCCCGACTTTGCAGTGAGGGGACCCGAAGTATTAATAGGAATGTTGTCATCAATGAATGGAAGTCGTGAGAAAATTTAACATCCGATCGTCGATCCACAATTAATTGAGCCACAACCACATTAGGTTGGCAAATATTATGCGACGCAGAACTGAGGCGCGCGTATAAGAGATACGTACATAAGAACGAAAATGGTAGCTCAAATAGAAGTACAAAAGTAGACCATCCAACTTTAATGTTGGATTTCGCACATCTTAAGGCTATATAATACAGTTGCAGAAACGATATCGAGACAGAGTTGTCAGAATAGGGCAATGCGAACTTGCGGTCGACAGATCCAATAATTGAATAAACATCATCATAACTTGGCTTTGGCCTTGTCGTTGATCCGAATGACAATTTTGCCAAACTGATCCCCGCGCTTCATGAGCTCGAATCCTTCTTCTGCAGCTTCAAGTCCTTCGAGGACATGGGACACCACTGGGACAATGCGATGCTCTGACATAAACGTTGTTGCGTCTGTGAGATCCTTGAGGGAGCCCATTGTCGAACCTTTCACACATTCAATATTGTCATTCAAGCAAGCAGGGAAACTTACCGATAAGCCGCTGATTCTTGAGCACCTCTCGCATGGTGAACTTGATTTGGGGATTTGCGGTCCTGTAATGATGCTGAGTGACATTTCAAGAAATAAACCTCCTTCGCTTACATCCCATAGACCACAACTTTGCCGCCCTGCTTTAAGATACTGTTCACTCGCGTGATAATGTCTCCACCGCCAGAGTCAAGAACTGCATCAATCTTCGCAGATTTTCCGCTGTTCTTTGCCAGAAGGGCAACAAGATGCGATGGCCAATCCTCTGTGAGATAGTTTGAACCTGCAAGACGGGTGGTCCGAGTTAACCCTTACTTAATTTGTAGTTCACTCCGCCCTTGGCTCCAAGAGCAGTTGCTTTCCTAAATTTTTCCTCGCTACCACTCGTAACATAGACATTAGCGCCTCTGGCTAGACATAGTTGCATGGCAAGAAGCGCTACTCCTCCACCTATTCCGGTAATAAGAATATTTTGGTCTTTAGATGCTTCAGCATTGACAATCGCAGCTCTAGTTACAATGCATTCAGTGATAGGACGAAGTTGGTACCGCGACAAAGACGAACCTCCAAGCAGTTAGACCACCAAGGGGCCAAGCGGAGACTTGAATATCATCAAGATGGTCTGGAGAACGAATAACCTGATTTCTTTCCACCACAACGTATTCAGAAAATGTTCCTAACGGAGGGTTGCGGCCACCCCCAAGGATTCCGAAACTGCCTCTGCATGAGACGTGAGCCAATGTCAATAAACAAATATGTAACCCACTCTGTTTCCGGCGCATCTGGTTTGCTTTCCCAACCTCGCATGGGTGTCAGGAAGACGCGTTTGTTCAGCAGTGCGTCATTTGAATCCGCCGATGCAATTACCGTGCCTGGGTTAGTGCTCTCAGTTTCCCCAACTCAGCTTATTACTGTAATAGTACCTGCTCCATCAGCACCGAAGGCACTTCCAAAGTTGATTCCGGGGTATTGACCAAGGCGTATCCAAAGCTGTCAGGGCGTTCAGATGAGCAACGAGTTCTTGCCGCAGCCGATGCTACGCCGGTCATATCACTCACGTCTCGATGGTTGAATGACACAGCTCCCATTTTCACAAGGACTTCCCCTTGCTTTAGTTGCTGCAGTGGACGTGTCTCCAGAACAGCATGATGATAGACAGGCGTTGCTTCCGCGGAGCACTTCTTAATGACCAGTGCTCGTGTTGATTCAGGAGTTCTGCTAGTCATCATGATAGAGTATAATGCAGACCACTTAAAGACTGCCACCACGCTAATATGAGGATGTGAGTTTCATAGCTGTTTACCGGTCACCTGCCAGTGAAATCATATGTACTTGAACTTGTGAGAATATATTGTGCTTATGTAACGTATTTCGGCACTTGTTAGGAGCCGATAATAATAAGGTTACATTCCCCTTTTCTTTTCAGCTATCATGAACACTTATTGCAGCGTGCCAGAGATAGAGGCAGAAGCCCTCGTCCTAGCACTATCTCTGTTAAATATTGAAGAAGTCGAAGGATCGCGCAAAGGAAAGTTACGGGAGGATGCCTGCTTGACGGACGAAGAAATTGCATTCAACTTTCAGGCAGAATACTTGAAGGCATCCTTGGCTGAACTTCAAGACCGTAGATTTGCACTAAGCTTTGATGAAGCGCTCGAAAGCGACAGTGCGGCTCTCAATGTGTTGTCCCGTATCAACCAAGGGGAGCAAGATGATCATCTTTCTGCTCTTGCCCTTGAAAGAGGCGATGAGGTACCAATTCCTACACACTCACAAGAAATACTTGAATGGACCATATCTTTGTCGTTCGTAAATTTCATTTTTGATTTTATATATTACTAATGACCTCTCCAGTGAGTTTGGCTCCACTTTGTCCAGTAATAATGATATCACGGGTGTAGTTGAGCCAGACCCAGATGAAATGGACGACCTCGCCGAATCACAGTATCATAGGGGACAATTTTCAGCTCGTGACAGGATGCCATCTCGGTTAGGCACATTTTTCATTTCGCGACCTCGGTCTTATATCGCTTTGTCCCAGGGTGGAGTGTGTCATATGTGGCGATCTTGTCAGACGTTCGCAAAGTTTCAATGCTCCGTGCTCTCATTTTTATTGTCGAGGTTGCCTTGTTAACCTTGTCGAAGCATCTACCAGGGACGAAACACTTCACCCTGTGCGATGCTGCCAGCAGCCTCTTCCCGTTGCGAACTTCCTGCCATTGCTTTCATCGGACTTGCGATCCCATTTCCAGGAAAAATCTGCAGAGTTCACAACTACACCGACTTCACGGATCTACTGTCCCAATCAGATTTGCTCCAAATTTTTAGGTTCATCTTCTGGCCGCAAGTCTGAGATCGCCTGTACAAGTTGTGGAACACGTGTGTGCTCCGCATGCAAGAATCGAGCCCACTTGCTTGAAGACTGTGCTGAAAATGCTCAGACATCAATGGTCAAAACCCTTGCGTCTCAAATGGGGTGGCAGACCTGTCCGGGTTGTCATGCTATCGTGGAACTTTGCCAGGGGTGTTATCACATGACCTGCCGATGCTCGACGCAGTTTTGTTACTTGTGCGCAGCACTGTGGAAAACTTGCGATTGCCGGCAATGGGATGACCAACGGTTGTTGGATGACGCTGAAAGACGCGTATATAATGAATTCGGGGCTCGTGAAGCAGCTGCGCGCCCAGAAATTTTTGTGGACCGTGTTTACCAGAGGATGACAGAGTTGGAGGATAACCACGAGTGCCTCGCGCACCGATGGGTGTATAGGCATGGCGGTGGATATTGTGAGGAATGTTATGATAATTTACGAACTTTTTTGATGGTGAGATTATCATCTTTGGAATTAATGGGCTGTGTGCTGATGATTCTCGCCAACTCAAGCGTTGCAGACATTGCCAAGCGTTGGTATGTAGGCGGTGTTCAGTGAACCGTCTTTGAGATTGGCAACATCAGTTATGAAGGTGAGGTACAAAAGTCGAGATCTTTTACGTGAATAATAGGTTTGAATTTCTGGAGCTGTAAGCAGGAGGGCTGAAGAGTTACATATCACTGGTAAAACGAGCTGGTCACTAGTCTATCGAAGATTTCGGAGGTGTTGCTTTCGCTGGACTGTGCTAGGCCATTACCAAATTGGGTTGCAGTCATAACTTAGGTCCACATCTATTCATCTGTAAGCACACACCGGCTTACTAGAGTTCCTATAATCTACACAAATACCGTCCGCGATACTGAAACACAACCCTTCAGTACTAGTGTCAATACCTTTTGGCGTAACGGTTAAACGAACGATAGTCTTGACTACTTACTACGTCATCTTCTAATCCGTGTTGGACCCTTTCCTATGTAGGCCTTTTGTCTGCTATTGGTCGCAGCCTACGATTATCTTTCCTCACTAAATTCTGCCTGCGATAACACAAAGATTCCAGGGCTGCCACAACATTCATATTGCTCTTTGACCGGCCATCAATCACCTTGCCAAACAACTAAATTCGTCCACCTTCTTTGCCATCGTTCCCTCATTTTGAGCGGGACTTGTATTCGTTCGTCATCTGACTCGGACTCCTCTTACTAATCTCTCATCGCTCTTCTCAGCTAGCATGCTGATATTCACCAATGTTACTTGGCTGGACCTATGTCTTGCTGGTGCCGGAGTGTATCTGGTCAAGCAGGCATTCAGAAAGAAGAACCTTGCACCATATCCCCCTGGACCTCCGGGGTGGCCTCTCATTGGGAACGTCGCAGACATTCTTCACAGCAAGGTCTGGCTCACCTTTGCCAAGTGGCGCAAAAAATATGGTGTGCCTCATGTTTCCCAACACGATACATTTCAATTACACTGTGGTTTGCAGGTGACATCTCGCATATCGAAGTTCTGGGTCGGCACATCATTGTACTGAATTCTGTCGAGGCAGCGATGGCATTGCTAGACAAAAAAAGCTCTGTGTACTCTGACCGTCCAGTTCTTACAATGGGTGGTGAACTTGTTGGCTGGAAGTACTGTTTGGGTTTTCTCTCTTATGGTGATCGTTTTCGCTATTACCGCAAGAACATCCACCGCGTCATTGGCAGTCGTGCTGCTATGGCTGTCTACGAACCGATTGAGGAGATTGAGACCCGCCGGTTCCTGAAGCGTGTGTTTGCAAAACCCGAGCAACTGCAAGCACATATTCGACAGTATGTGGTGTTTATCATTGCATGAATGGGGCCTAGATCTTGTTTAGCATCGCTGGCGCTATCATTCTGCGAATCTCTCATGGATATGAGGTGAAGGAGAACAATGATCCCTTCGTCGACCTTGCAGACCGCGCTATGGACCAATTGTCGCGGTCCAATGATACTGGTGCCTTCATGGTTAACATCATGCCATGGTGTAAGACTACAGTATTCTGGTATTTACAATGAGCTGACTTATTTCTAGTGGCCAAGGTTCCCGAGTGGTTTCCTGGTGCTGGATTCAAGTGCTTGGCCCGTGAATGGCGCCAGACCCTTGAAGAGTTGGTTGAAGCACCACACAAATTCGTCAAGGATCAGATAGTAGGCAACATATACAGTTCGGCGGTCACGAGTTGAACACATCACAGGCTGCCGGAGTTGCCCGCGTGTCTTTCACCTCCCATCTGTTGAAAGGCCGTCCTTTGTCTGCGGAAGAGGATCACATGGTGAAATGGTCTGCTGTATCCCTATACACCGGTGGTGCCGACACGGTTAGCTCTTCCCTTCATATTACAGATTGATTATTATGTTTTGAGACTAACATCTGTCTCCACAGACAGTTTCTACAATCTATTCGATCTTCCTGGCGATGACACTGTTCCCTGATGTGCAGAAGAAGGCTCAGGCTGAAATAGATGCTGTTGTTGGCACTGATCGTCTTCCCTCTTTTGCAGACCGCGACTCCCTCCCCTATATTGAAGCCCTTGTGAAAGAATCCCTGCGCTGGAATGTTGTTGTCCCTACAGGTATGTGTTTATTGTATTCTTTTCATTGCAGAGCGGTATCAATCGCCTTAAGACAGGGATCCCCCACTGTGTCTCTGAGGACGATATCCATGACGGGTACTACATTCCGAAAGGATCTTGGATCATGCCTAACATCTGGTTAGTGTTCGCATTTCTCCGGATTCAACATGATAGAATTGCATACCAGGTTCATGCTCAATGACCAGCAGACATATGCTAACCCTTCGCAATTCAAGCCTGAACGCTTCTTAGACAATGACGGAAAGGATCCCGAACGCGAGCCTCGCACGATCTGCTTCGGCTTTGGTAGACGGTACGCATGGAATTAATTTGGATTAGAATGCTAACTTTCTGCTCCGCAGGATCTGCCCCGGTATGCAAAAGTACCCTCAATAAAACAGTATTGTGATGTTTGCTTGCTTTTGATTTACAGGCCTCCACCTCGCTGATGCTTCCATCTGGCTATCTACCGTGATGTCGCTCGCCGTGTTTGATATTTCCAAGATCGTCGAGAACGGTGTCGAGCACACCCCTGAGGTTGACTCCTCATCAGGCGCGATCAGGTATGTCTTGTATCCTATCACGTTCGCGGTGCTAGTTTGGATACGTACTCCCAGCCATCCCAAACCCTTCAAGTGCTCTATCAAGCCTCGCTCTGCGAAAGCTATTGCGCTCATTCAGCAGGATGTTAAATATTAAGGGCACGAATATTATCCTTGTTGTCTGAATCTGTCCGATATCGTACAACATATCTTGTTTCATCTTGTTGTATCGATGCTACTCATGATGACCTGGTCCACATGTAATACACACATCTGGCACCTTGCCACCTCCCGGGGACCCAACAAGGAGCAGGTTCATGTACTTAAGATCTCCTGTCGATGTTCAACACCTTTACGCGTGGCAACCATCCTCGACTCAACCGTTGTGACCCCTCTTAACCATGAAGCTCCAAGCCATGTGAACACATTCACCTCGTGACCTGTCCCTCGACATTACGAGTTCTGCCGGCACTGATACGAAGAATGTGTGTCCTGTCGTGCCAATTCACCATATGAAGGATTTCAAGGCGTGGGGAGGCACACAAGGTGGTGGTGGTGGTGCTTCATGTACAGGATGGCACAAGTATCTTTTTGCTCGCATGTAAGTAAGGTAATTGCCGTCCACCGTAGGTTGAACGTGAAACGAAAGTGCCTGTGTTTCAGCTTGTGGCTGGTCATCGAATGATACTTCTGAATGAACATTGAACACAAGACAATGCAGTGTGCTCAGTGTCCCAAGGATGATCTCAAGGACCTCAGCATATATCACCACATGATAATATTTTATTCAGGTGTATACCTTTAAAATTCGCATGAGCAATGATATATACCAACCTGTCAAACCCCAAAGTTCTAAACGTCCCTCCTTCCCATAGCTCACTTCCGAGTGTCCCGATGGATCGTTTACCCCCTCAAACCCCTCCACAAGGTCAGAGACATCAATGGCCCAATATGGGCTTGCAGCGCGGAACATGTCAGGCCTGATACGCGCAGGGGATGTAAATGCGGAAAGGGGAAGATGGAAGACGGTCGCCACCTCGGCCTGAGATATGGTGAGTGAGGAAAGCGAGATGGAGGGTAAGGGATCATCTAGGGATCCGGTACCTTACCATGTGGGTATACGAAGCCCTGCGCACCGAATTCGAGTCAAAACAAAACTGGTGAGTAGAATAAACGTACGACGTAGGGCCATGGCAGCCCATACTCTGAGACCCATGAGACTTCGCTCAGGCAGGCCAAATTGGCCGAGAATGTCGATCTGCCGATGATCTAGACCTACTTCTTCTTGTGTTTCTCTGAGCGCAGCAGCAAGAAACGATGCATCTGCCTATGGGTATGATGAGAAAGTACACAGAGGTTCTGAATAGACCCACTGGGTCGACCCTTCCACCAGGGAAACTAGTGATCATGAGCACCGAGATACTTGACCATTTTGGGGTTGAACATACCTGACTTCGCCAGCATGGGACCTCAGTTTACTGCCTCGCAGTTCGAGTAGCACACCGGGTACACCATCGACGTTACACAACGGAACAAGGACCGCTGCGTTGACTTCTCCTGAGGTCACTGGAGTCTTGGACGTTGTTGCATGCGCAATAACGACATTTTGGAGGGTGCGTAAAGAGCCGCGGGTGAAGGGGGAGGTTAGGGATATGATAGACGTGGAAGTTGGATGTGGAGGGTCGAAGCATGTGCTGCGGCTGTTATGAGTGTTCTGGACAGCATGATACTAAAGAAACAGACAGGCGCGAATACTAATGATATTCCTTTGTAGCCAGGTCGCTCTATGGGAAAATATTATGGGGTCAACTTGGAAAGCTTTCAATGTGGCAGCGCTCGTACGGTGCGTGAAACTCCGACGAGCTACGTCCCCTGCATGAATCATTTGTCTTTCGATCATTGACTTGGATCATATACATGCTGTGGTCCTCACGTTCTACACCCAAGGCAAATGGTGTCGATTTTGAACCTGGATCAAAAATGGGACAACTTCGCATATCAAGTCGCTGCAAACAGCGAAGTCAAAATCTTCTAAACAAACTCAGACGCACAGTCGGCGATTCCATGATCGTGAAATCCATCGTCGTCAGCTTTGTTCTGACTAGCCTGAGATTCCATCTTCACAGCTGAAGCGTCATTTGGTGCAGATGTTTAAGGACGAGACTTCTTCGGAAAAACTGGCCACATTCAATACCTGCGCAGTGCGCGTGCGCTTCAATTTCACCGAAGTTCATTTGTATCTATAGCACTCGCCTCCATCTCGCGACTCGTCTCGGCTGATCTTTGTACCTGTAAATCCAATCGATTCACATAAAGTACAGCTCGAAAAAGCGACCGCAGCGGGCTCTGCCGCGAGCGGCCTTTCGCGTTATTTATTATCTAAAAAAGTTTTAAAATCGCAAACGACATGCCCCGACAGCTGCGCGCTCGCACATCCCGACCAAATTATGCTTCGCTCCTGACTATAGGCGACGAGAGAACTAGTAGCGGGAGTGACTTTGCACCGGACAAGCTTTCCGACGATGCCCCCGATAATGACCCCGAAGTAGACGAGGAAGAAGCAGAAGCAGTGCCGAAACAAGGCAAGACTTTAGCTACTGCTGCAAGGTCTAGACCCTCGATAACGGGAACACGGCCGTTCCATAAGCCCCCACCAAAATCTCCGTCCGCACAGGTATCTACTTCCAAGATGTCTGCTCCGAGAACCGCGAAGATGTATGCACTACCAAATCCTAGTGTCCATCATCGACACAAAGCCATGCCGGTTTTTCTTCGCAAGGAAAAAGTCGAGCGACTTGATGCTCCTCCTACGCTCTTCAACCCACCAAAGATTGTGTCAACCAATAGTATGACATCAGAACAATTCCTAACGGATCGCATCAGTAGGGCTTGGGGTTATAATGTTGGCCCTGGTCCTGTATGGGATATCATGGAGGACCGATCATCCTTCAAGGAGGCTTTGGAAGGAGAGGATACTTCGATAAATGAGTCGCTCAGGCGTCCCAGGGTCCATCAACACGTTGAGGTGAAACCTGGATGGACGAGACTCGATGAGCGGTGAGCGCTTCTATGTCTGCTCATTCGAATAGCTTGTTGAAACTTTCTCAGTGATGCTGCGAAGTACTTTCCCACTAACACCATGTTAACAGATAATGGCCAGCCTGCTCCTCTGCATTGCTTCCTTGGACCGTATGGTCGCCAGACTCGCGTTGAAATGGCTATGTTCGACAGCCACGCTACATGTACGCCCCTTACCACTTTCGTGGACGTCGGTCACGATTACAATTCCTTTATTAACAGCAGAATACATGCCTGGCAGCACATCTTTCGTGTTCAATGTTGGATCTCCTGCGTGGGGCGTAGACTGGTGCCCGTCACACCCAGATGACCGACCCCGTAAGACGAAGCGCTCCCTTGTCAGTAGGCACCGCTCAAGATTATATACAGATCGAGCCTATAAACATTACCTTGCGGTCGCCCCTTTCTCTTCGCGGTCGCACTCACCGATGATCGGTGCGAAAGTTCATCGTCCGGTTCCTGCTTGCATCCAAATATGGGGTTTGCAGTCCAAACAGGAGAACACCTTGCAAGAAGACCGCTCACTGGCCGGTGAGATAAAGTGCGAGATGGTCGTTTGCTTAGAGTCAGGGCCTGCATTCGAAATTAAGTGGTGCCCTCTTCCCTCGCATGATCAGGTTTGTTTACGACCTATCCACGCCTTCACACTTTGCTGACGGTGGGAGTGTAGTGGAATGAAGTTCATATGGAAGAACACCCGCGAAAGCTAGGGCTACTAGCAGGGACATTTGAAGACGGTTCGTTGTCCATATATGTTGTTCCAGACCCAGAGGATGTAAGGAGTAAAGATGATGACTCAACACGTCCGACATCTGGTGGGTGGTTAGCCCTAATTTATCAACACACGACCGAGATTGGTTGACAAAACAGTGCATATACCCGAACCACTTCTCCGAATCGAGCTAGAGGAAACTTGTTGCTGGTCCCTTGACTGGGCTAATAGTGAAACCATCGCTGTTGGTTGCACAAATGGTCTGAACAGTGTCCTTCAGTTGAAACGCTCCTCACCACAGTCATCCTGAAGGTTACGTCGCTGTATATGATATTGGTCATGCAATCAGAACAGGTCAGGGCTCAAGTGAGTTCTGGCTGCCCTCGTTTATTCCATTGTGACGAAAATTTTCCAAGACATGCTCCCAACCCATTACATTTCAATACATCAATCTGCGGTGCGAGCCCTTTCATGGATTCGTATCCCGCCGACGAATGGCTCTGGCGTGCCATCGACCTCCGAGGATCCAACAGTTCTGGCTACCGGCGGATACGACGGCATGGAATGTTTGATTGACATCCGAGAACCACATGGAAATATTGTAAACAGGACACGGGGTTAGTGCCTTTGACAAGCAAATGCATTTCTCTGATATACGTTCCTAAAGATGTGATCAATAGCACTACATACTCCCCATTCGCGGGCGGACCGATCATGATTGATCACGACAACAGTGTCAAAGCATATGCAATATCTCCTAGTACGCTAGGCAGAGGGCACGTACTTCTGGAGCCAGATGGACCAGTGTGGGTACGTGCCACAACAGTCACGATCACTGCGCCGCTGAATAAAATTGCAGAGCGTCAGTGCATCGGAATACCACGCTCAGTTAGCGGTCGGTTCAGCAGATGGCTCTTGCGTAACAACCAACACTCTGAAAACAACAAGGAGAGGAGGGTCGGTCGTACGTATCCTGTGACGATCATAAGCATTCTTCTCTCAAAGTCTTGAAGCCATTCTTCTTCCGCAAGATCTTTCAGTTGGACTACAGCCGAAAGACAGGAGAGTTTCGTATGTTAGACCATTTCCTTCCGCAAGTGAGTGACATTCCAGATATACCCCTGTTGTTACTGACGCTACGCCAGGAAACTCAAGAAAGGTCCACAAAATTGAAAGGGAAACAAGCCAAAAAAGATGAATCTGAGACAAGCACCAGTACTGGTGTATGGCCACCCGAAGTAGGCGTCCATCGTGTTACTTGGAACATGGGTAATGGTCTGGGCGGAGCGCCGCTACTCGCGTCTACTACGGGTTCAGGACTATGTAGGGTGGATTGGTTGCTAGGACGTTGGATGCGGAACAAGGTACCATACGTGAATGTGCCAAATATGAGGAAAGAGGTTGACGATGTAATGGACGAGGATAGTGGGGATGAAGCTGTATAATTGATGTATCAATCCTTATAGCACGATAAAAATTCGGATACATCAACGTTAACATTGTGGCTATGCACTAGGCCTCATGAGAATATCGGTAGCCCATCCGTATCTGCCGGTGGCAACGAGCACACAGCGACCAGTCACCACTACATCTCAATATCGTTTTCAAATTTTAAAAGCGCGCCCTATATGTGCACTGCTGATGGATGGCACTGGGACAGGCTATAGTTGTATCTTTGGGGATGGAGCACAGTTGGTGGGCCAAACAGTGCATGTTGAATGAAGCGGAGAAATTTCACAAAGCACTGCAGTACGCAATCAACGTTCGTGTAAACATCATGACGCGTTTCCAAGATGCGAAGACTATTGATCACTTGTTATCTCAGTTTGGCCCTGGATCTATCCTTAGCGTTCACCTTGGGCGCAAGGCTCTTGCCTTGTATATTGAAGCGAAATGATGCACTGCTCCCATAAGGCACTTCTTCGCCTTCCTGACGCACCACCAATGGCTGCAATGACCAGCAGCGACCTGGAGGCCATCTTGCACGCTACAGAGCGGCTCACTCAATCCATGACAAGCGAAATCCATTTTAACGAACCCAAAACAAGAAGTGGAACACCCCTATCAGACTCGGACGTCTCGCGGCTCTCGCCCACCGCCCAAGCGTGCTGTACTCCACCTCCTTGTTCTCCAGGGTTGACATGGTGTGTAAAGTGAACGATTAACTATTGACAAGGAAGACCACTAAGCACTCTGGCGACCTATAACATTACGTTCATAGTGGCACACAGGATCATCATTGCACGAATAACGAATGGCACAAAGCTCCACAAGACAGAAAGGCGACTTTTTGTTTGTCACAAATCTTTATCAAGTTTCTGAAACGAGATCGAAATCCGTGAGCTTTCCGACCTTGAACCATTACTAGCCTCACCGCTGCAATAGAGTAGAATGTATTGCCTGCGGGGATAAGGTCCCAACGAAGCAAAGCTTCCGTGCGCCATGCGCTCATCACTATTGCCGGGAATGCATCGCGAATTTCGCGAAGGCGTCCATGAAAGACGAAACTCTGTATCCCTTACAGTGCTGCCAGATCAGAATGCCAGCAAAGAAAGTCGATCGACAATTACCTAAACCACTGCAGACACAATTCCGTGCCAAGACTGTGGAATATTCTGTCCCACCGGCTACACGAGTGTATTGCGCAAATCAGAAATGTTCTGCGTTCTTGTGCTCTTCGGACACTCGGAATCGCAAGGCGGAAATGACTTGCCGTGTGTGTGGCACCACTATATGTCTCGCATGCAAGAATAGGAGACATTCGGGAGAAGAATGCTTAGAAGCAGGACTGCAAAGAGACTTGAAGAGACTCGCAGACGATAAAAACTGGCAGTCGTGTCCTGGCTGCCGGGCGATCGTCGAACGTACAGATGGGTGTAGCCACATCACGTGTCGCTGCTCCACCCACTTCTGCTATCGATGTGGAGCTCGCTGGCGAAAATGCTTTTGCCACAGAGACTCGGCGGGGGATCACTAAGTCCCCTGTCATAGCGGGAAGACCATGGTGAGGCAAAATACCAGATGTACTCTTGGCTTAATCATTGATTTCAGTGTTGTCAGTCAATTCAGTGCCAACGATTCAGATGATAATAAGCATATGCAGCACCAAAGAGATCCAAATCTCCTAGATGTCTCGTTATGAACGTACCCTTCTGTTTACGCACTGTTTGGTACACGGACACAGACACGATACAAGTGTATAGCCTTCGCAGAACAACCTTGTAAAATTCACAATTCGAACCAATGTCTGTATGTATAAGCGTGTTATATCCTTGGTGTATGTTTCAGTTACAGTAGTTTATGAGCTTCGTCCACTTGCTCGCAGTAGCCTTGCAGCGCTGACGCTATCACGAAGGTCTAAAGACATCAAAGTTTCATAATAGATGGGTAGGACATACAATGTATGTCAATTGGAAGAAATCGATCTATGTGTACAGACTTCACAGGCACACAAGGAAGTCCCCTCTTTACAGTCCTGTCACAAGGTATCACAAGAGTTACAAGAGTTACAAGAGTTACAAGAGTTACAAGAGTTACAAGTGTTACAAGCATTACAAGCATTACAAGCATTACAAGTGATACAAGCATTACAGGCATTACAATATAGACAAACGGAACACACTGTGCAGATAAGACATTAGACTGGTGACCAGCCCGGGCCCCTCTATGAGGCAAACCGTCGATAGAGGGACTGGTAAATCTGGGTTTGAATTTGGATAGTGCGCGCTTTGGAGTCGTCACATGACCTGTAGCCAATAAGAAAACTGAAATTTTCGACGTGAATATTTGAATTGTTGAAATTGATGTTTGATTCAAAGTTGATGCGATGCAAACATGGTCGTGTCATTAATGTATGTATCTACTCTACAACTCCAATGGATGTGAACTCTATCATCCAAGCTGTGCGGGAAGCCTCGATGGAAGGACTAGATTCATTTGCTTGTTTGCTGATACAAGAACAGCTCCCTACCAACTATATCGAAACCCTCAGTGACAAGGATAAGACAGATGTGTTACTGTCACAACCCACTAACGAATTAATGCTGGGCAGAGACTAGGACTCAAACAACAAGATAATCACAAAGAAGATAAGGCAGCAGGTACGTCTTGGATTGCTCACTTGGAGATACAAGAGGTTTGAACTAAAGAACTACTGACTACAAGACACTACCTATATACTCATATTTGTAACTGAGATCGAAACTGAGTCTGAACTAACTACCAATCAAATAATAAGACGATATCGTACGATTCTATATATAACTATGATGTCATAACATGTGCCGCAGCAACCGTAAGGTTCTGGAACATTCTATCAGGGTCGTTTGGAATAAAGTTTAGTCCGGCATATTCCGATAAGTCACATGACTCGTTCATAGGTCTTTTGGGTATCTCTACAATAGACGCCGTTGTCGGAACATCTTCAACTATAAATACTTTCTTAGTAGCAGGCGCTGTGACTGGGCGCTTAAAGGACTTCGAGTTTAGGAACGTGTAATGATTTGTATTTGGAACTCGTGACATTACCCCCTCTCTAGGTTGAGTGTCATCGCGAAAGACATTTGGACGGATAAAGTTTCGACGCCACTCCAAGAATTCTTGTGTTTCAAACACCGATTTGTTAATTTTGCGGGGATTCAATGCCTTCGGATTTTGCCGGTGAAATTCTTGAACTTTCAACCGCGCATTCTCAAAGTTCTCCTCAGGTTCCCATGTCGCTTCTTCTATCGGATATCCTTCCCACTCTACTAGGTATTGGAGTTTTGATCTGTGCAGTCTCGAGTCTAGGACTTTTCGTACTGTCCATTCGGAATCGCCTTCTGATACGATCTCTGGCGGCGGACGATGATGTGGAGGTCTTTGGATTAAGGTCGAGGGGGAATGCGGGGTGAGTAATTCTACATGGAAGACTGGATGAATCTGATATTTTGTCGGAAGTTTCAGGCGGTAATTTACATCACCCGTCTTCTCAAGCACTTCGAACGGACCAAGTCTTCGGTCGGAGAGTTTCTTATTTGGTCTTTTCTGGTGGATATTCTTGGCGTTGAGCCAGACCATGTCTCCCTTATTGAACTGTGGTGCGTTTTTTACTCCTTTATCGTAGAATCTTTTCATCCGCTCACTAGCCATGCGCAGCATACTTTCTGCGTCTTCTTTCGCCTCTTTCATTACATCCACTCGTTCATCAGCTGCAGGTACTTTGGAATTGGAAATCGGTGAAAAAGTAAACTCTGGATCGTATCTGTAGAGTACTTTGAATGGACTATGACCGGTTACAGTGACGGAATTATTGTGAGCGAATTCTGCTAGCGGAAGCCAGTCTACCCAATCATTTTGGCGGTAAGACGTGAACATTCTCAGATATTGCTCGACTTCTTGATTTATCCTTTCCGTTTGTCCATCTGTCTGAGGATGATAAGCCGTTGACATGTTCCATTTTATGCCTAGGCGTTTCGACACTTGTCCCATAAACTTAGAGACGAATTGTGTTCCTCTATCTGATATCACCTGTTTCGGAGTTCCATGGTGTTTCCATACGTTATCTAAGAAAAGTTTCGCGATTCCTCGAGCGTCAACTTCCTTTTTTGTAGGCATGATGTGCGTTTGTTTTGTGTATCGATCAACGACGACAAAAATAGAGTCGAACCCTTCGCTTTTAGGCAAGTCTACTATCAGATCATAAGTGATTGATTGCCAAGGTCCCGCTGGTATCTTGTTTGGTTTAAGCGGACCGTGTGGTTGCATTGGGTGAATCTTCGTTGCTCTGCATCTATCACAGCCATCTACGTAATCGTGGACATACTTCGTCATTGAAGGCCACCAATAATTTCTGGAAATCAATTCTAAGGTCTTGGCTCGTCCTGGATGTCCGGCTGGTGGAGAGTCGTGAAACAACTCCAATATCTCTCGGCGGATCTCCTTATCATTTGGAACGTAAACCAGTCCTCGGAATAACACCAATCCATCCTCAACATTCCATTCCTCAATCCCTCTGCGTAGCTGCACCGGTGCCGCTTTCAACGTTTCCAACGCTTTAGCAACTTCAGGTTCTCGTTCTGTGCATTGCCTTATCTTTCTCAGCAATTGTTTTTCTCCTTGCACTAGAACTTGACCTCTTTTAGCAGCTTTTACGGTAAAAAACTCCGGTTTTAGCAAAACGCGATCAGAATTGTCATTTTCCACCCCTTCTCTGTGGTCTTCTCTCCGAGATAGACGGTCTGCCTTATCGTTAACTACACCAGGCTTATGTTGGAGCGTAAATTTATACTCCGCCAGGAACAAACTCCATCTGGCTTGCCTTCTTGTCAACTTTTGGCTCGTCATAAAATACTCGAGATTCTTATGATCCGTCCAGATCTCCACGTGATGAGGCTTTCCCTGCACATAATGTCTCCACTCCTCCAACGCTCGAATGATTGCTAATAATTCTTTGTCGTGGATGTCATAGTTTCATTCTGCATCGTTCATCGACTTCGAATAATAAGCTACGGGATGCCATAAGTCATCTTCCATGAGTTGAGATAATACTGCTCCTGTTGCGTAATCGGAGGCATCAGTTTCTATTTTCATCTTTTTCTCAACATCCGGCATAACTAGAATCGGAGCTGTTGTGAACCTTGACTTCAGTTCATCGAACGCATCTTGTTACTTTTCCGTCCAGTTCCATTTGACATCCTTCTGTAATAAATCATTCATTGGTCTGGCAATGTCCGAAAACCCAAAGATAAATCTTCTGTAGAAGTTGGCAAAACCCATAAACGCTTGAATATCTTTAACGCATTTAGGTGTGGGCCATTTCATTACTCCTTCTACTTTCACAGGGTCCATCTGAACACCACCCTTTTCCACTATCAACCCGAGGAACTTGACTTCCGACTGTTCGAAGCTACATTTTTCCGGCTTCAGATACAAGTCATTTTCTTTTAGTCGTTTCAGTACCTCACGTACAACCTTCCGGTGTTGCTCCTTATCGCCATTTGTGAACACGAGAATATCATCGATATAGACAACTACGGTCTTTCCATCAATTAAATCTCTGAATATCTCGTTCATCATTGTTTGGAACGTGGCAGGGGAGTTCGTTAACCCGAAGTACATTACGGTTGGTTCATGGTGACCAAACAGCGTTTTGAAGGCCGCCTTCCACTCGTCTCCTTCTTTCATGCGAATATTATTATACCCCCATCGTACATCCATCTTGGAGTACATCGTGGCACCGGTTAAAGCGTCAATTAATCTTGAGATCTCGGTAGCGGGTATGCATTTTTAACCGTTTTCTCATTGAGCTTTCTATAGTCCATTACCGGTCTTAATTTGCCATCTTTCTTGGCCACAAAGAAGAAAGGTGCTGCCACTGGGGATTGTGACTCTCTAATACAACCCAGTGCGGTTTCAGCTTTCAGCCAATCCTTCAGAGTGTCCATTTCTTTGGGTGACAAAGGATAGGGTTTCGCATTCGGCGGAAGATCGCCATTGTCCTTAAGATCTATCGCATGATCCCATTTCTTTTTTTCAGGGAAGCGCTTAGATTCTTCTTCTGAGAAAACTCCCAGGTAATCGTGAAGCCAATTGGGAACCATTTCTTCAACCGATTTTTTCACTTTCATTGCTTCTTCTGCAACCTTCTGCTCCGTGGCGACCGAGGCTTTATATTTTATCCATTCTCCAGGATACTCTTCATCTTCTATTTCCTCTACCGTCGCCCTTTTCATCGCCATGTCTTCTTCGTCATCCTCTTCTGTGGGAATCAGATCTGGCACTTCTTCTGTCTTTTTTTGTTCTTTTCTTTTTTCTCTATTTATTTGTCTTTGTTCTTTTTTCGTAATACATTTAACCGGGCATCGAGAAAGCGCAAATCGTCCAGCGTTCCAGTCTATTTCCGGGTTGTGATATCTCAGCCAATCTATGCCGATAATGACATCATCGTTTCCTAAGTCCGTAACCATGAAGGCTGTTTTATCCTCAACATGATCACCGATCTTTAGACCTATTTCTGCGAAGTGTGTCATTGATCCAGCAGCATTTAGCGAGCCATCAATATTTTTAACCGGAATCGGTCTCTCCAACTTCCGACACGAAATCCCCTTCTTTTCCACAAACTTTTTATCTATAAATAATGTCGAAGCACCGCAATCTACCAGTGCCTTGACTTCGGCTTGCCGGTTCTTTCCCTTTAACGTAACGGGAATGTAGAAGTGTTCTGATTTCGTTTTAAGAAACACTTCTTCAACATCCGCGTAGTTCGACAGGATCAAATATTTATTATTAGGATCTAGGCCCGCGGACTTTGGCTTTGCTCCTTTTTCGTTCTTTTCGCCTTCCGTGGTCAACCATCTCGTGAACCACTTGGGCGCCCCCATCGACCTCTTGGCTTCTTCTTTTTTGATTGTCAGGGCGATCTTTTTGCCCATATCCGTCGACAACCAGAACTCGAACCA